TAATATTTTCACCTATATATACTCGCGCTCCAACTACCTTAGTTAGCCAATGAATCCATTATCAAACAAACTGGTCTAACGACGAAGAGGGTACTAAGAAAATCACCAACGTCGCTTTAGGTGACTTTGACATTGCTTTCAGGCTTGAACCAGGAGCTCTGCTTCACAGCACTCGTGCAGTAGGAAACGTCATGTGGCGCAGTCCAGAAGGGCAGACTGGGAGAGGTTTGTCTAAGGCATCAGACCTTTACTCATTTGGACTGGTTGTAAGCTGTTCTCCGTCATTTTCATGGCTGTCATTGAAGAAACCCGCGCTAAGCGTTCGCGCAGTGCTTATTTGTCCTCGGGGCTGAGAAACTGCTACTCATCGATAGTTATGAAGCGCTCGTCAAGCTTGGTATTAGCCCCGAACAAGAAATATTGACGCGACACTTCTCGTACTTTGGGCCAGCGAACCAGGGCCTGTTCAACCACATAAATAGCGAGAAATGGACAAAAGCTCTTAGACTAGTATCTGAAATGACTGAGCTGGACGTACAAGACCAGCCAGACTTGAGATTTGAGGTATGGGGACGTCAACTCGGTTCTGGGGCACAGGAGATGATATCTGGAATGATGAAAATGGATCCAAAGGCTAGGTCAACGATACATCAGGTTATGGAGCATCCTTGGTGGAAGGAGGTCATTCATTTGACGGACAACTGAGGTGGCGATGTGGCTTCTTGCATATGTCATTTGAGAGCGTATAATATCATAACTAAAGCCTATAGGCGATTACTGTGAGATGACAGCTTAGCTCTAACTGCGTCACGTGGCCCGAAAAGCCGAGGCACTATTTGACTGTGCAATCTGAGAAGCTGCCCGTGTTACCTCTGCTGCCCCAAATTTCTTTGCGCTAATTAAATTTCCGAATGGGATGGAGTTCCGCGATGCTGAGCTTATTGCGAAACCCCCAATATTTGAGCTCATCGACGAAGTCAAGAAGAAATATCCCACCAGAGAAATATCGATGAACGATAGGTCCAGCAGCCTCGGGTGCGAATTCTGAAAGGTAACGAAGCTTGGTGATATGCGCCATGAGCTTGCTCTTCTGTCATATTTGGTTTGCCCGCATCTTTGTAACAGCACCTAGGCGTGTAGCTGGCGGGCGGTTAAGGAAACTTGGAATGCACTCCACAGCCCTGTCAGAACAATGCATTCAATTACTGTAGTAAGTTTCCAGACACTTAGGGCTCTGGAATTTTTATCCAGACTTGGTTCGAGTGTGTTGCGGTGTGGGTAGCTCGTTGTGACTGTGTTATGCCGGGGTCTTGGCGGGTTTTTGGCCAGGGCTAGTGTTTTTACAACTCCGTTCAGTAGCAAATCTCAATTGTTTCATGAATGTAATACTGTTAATTTTATTTTTCTGATACATACGGCCATAGGATCCTTAGTCAGCAAGAAAACCCGTCCGATCTTTCATATTTAAGCTGGATACCGGCGGACTAGTAGTCAGGTGGGTGACCACTGGCGAATCCCCGCTGTCGTATGTTTTTGTTTTTCATTTCTTTCTTTTTGCCCATGAGGTACGACTCATTTTTTGAGACTTGTATTTCCGAACTGATTTACCGATTGGTGCCAAAGACACAGAGCAAGCTCGATGAGGATAAGACAGCAAAAGATATTCGCGAAGCATTCGAGAAACGTTCTTAGTTTGATAAAGATTTTGCTGCCCTAAAAGGTGACATATCCTCTATAGCACAAGAACTTGCTGATGTGAAGAGTCCACTCAACGAATACCTGACCAAATGGTACGAACAGACTGCCCCCAGGAAAACGTCCGAGCAAGTTCACTGTACAACAAGTCATTCGTGCCATACACGACGAGATAAAGAAGTTGCAAAATAGTGGTTGGATAGATAAACCCAAAATTTGGGCCAGGATCAAGAGCAAATTCACAGAGAGCAAGTGGATCAAAGCCATTCAATTTGGTCTCCACAGTATTCTGCATGGAATTGCCTTGTGGGGCGCAGCAGCGTCGTTGGCCAATGCGCAGAGCATGTCCGTATTGGAGATAGTGCAAACATCAATCTGCATTGCGTCTGAAGGCATTAGTCTCTTCGGTATAGGTGCAAAGGTAATACTTCAAGTGGGATTCTCCAAGTTCAAAGGCTGGATTCGCACAATCAGCTTCTTCTTCAATGTCGGTGTCGCTGAAACAGCTAGCTTCAGGCGACGGTACGTAGCAGAAGGTTGGGCAGGGCGATGGACTTGGAGCAGTTTTTGCTAATACTGGATGCAGTCTTGTCGGTGCCATTGTTGGCAAACTAAACGACGTCCTACGCTTACTCGGTGAGACTGCAGTCTTTTGAGCACTACGCGCAAAGTCGCTTATTGCCTTTTAGGGCTCATCGGTTGTGTGTTCGGTATTGTTACCGCGTACTACGATATCGAAAAAGCGAAAGCAATGGGCGAGCGAGATGGAAAGAATTCGTTAATCTATTCTGTCATTCAAATGGTCTTGTCTATCACGGAAGTCATTCTAGTCGTTGGCAGCATCATCGTTGACGCGTTCGCAATCACGGCCGGACCCTTGATGCGGTGTGGGCCAGCTGCGTTTAGTAAGTATCATATCTCGCGAATAGAATATGAGCTAATGAAATTTAGTCGTTGGCCTGGTAGCGATAGCATTTGTCATTGTCTACATGATCTCCTTTGCTCCAGATCCTTACGAAAGCGTTAAGGCATTCCTTGACAATGAAGGCAAAAAGGTGGGAGCTTATGACGAGAATCAGGAAGAGGTAGGCGGGCGCTAGAGTAGTGCGACCTTTATAAATTTTTTTTCAAGATATATCTCACGTGCTCTTCAATCAATGTTTGCTCTATGAAGCTATCTTAATGGATGGTATTTCACGGGCCAAAATCAAGTCCTAACGTCGAAGTCTAAGCCTTCGCCTCACTCCAACATACTTTGGTTTAGAGTAGTAAATAGATCTCTACCTTAGAATCTACAAAGCTACGTGCATACTAACTCTTCGACACAGATTTGAAGCTGGCGTAAAAAAACCACCCGCTCCTTTCCCAAATGCGTAAACAGCCCGGACCTTCCTCCCACCCACAGGGAGACCTCTTTCAAGGAAACAATGAAATAGTCCACCTACCTCCTCCCCAAATCCACGTCCAGGACCTCCACCATATCCTGATTCTCCGCTCCCTCAACTCCAAAAAACGGCTTGATACCCTTCTCCACAACCCCCTCCATCAACCCATTCACAAGTTCCTGCAAATCGCTTCCCGTCTGCCGGAAATCCGGAAAAGCATTGACTTCCAATAACCACGTATTCAACCCGCCAGTTTCATCGTCGATTCCAACCATGAAATCCAGACCGAAGACTTCAAAAGAATTGGGTAGCGGTTGGAAATGGATGGACATTCCTCTCGCCGCGGCTTCAAACGTCGAGGCAGTGATATCGCAGATTTGCTGAAAGATTGTGTTTTTCCAGTTCGATGGTACGTTAACTTTGCGTCCCGCATCTCCACCCTCACTGCTAGATGAGCCGGAGAAATCTGGTTGGGTGGGCAGACTACCCGGTAAATCCCAGAACAAACCCACAGAGCCCTCTCGATCCCCACTCTCCTGCAGACAGGTGTTGGTCAAGTGGGCGCGCATAGCTTCCTGGCTGTTAGGCTCGACATCAGTGGACCAAGGGGGCAGATAGGGGTGTGCAGCAAATAGGGCGAGCATTTGTTTGTAGACGTAGAGTTTTAGGGCACCTGTGGCGAGGATATAGGTTCTTATGTGGAATTTTCGGAGGTCACTGGTAGGGTTGTTTGGTGGGGTGAGAAGGAGAGGCGGGTGGATGTATGGCTGAGCGATGAAGTGGCGGAGTTGGGACGTTATGATTCCGTTATCTTCGTCCTTTTCCATCTTCAACTGTTGCATATTGGAATCACTACGGGCATCTTCTTCTTCGTCTTCGTTGTCGCTGTCTGGATCCCACTCCTTGAATATCTCGGTGAGTTCTTGCTCACTGGAGAAGAGGCGGATGCCTTGGCCTCTATCACTCATTCCTGGTTTCAAGATCCACCATTCCTTTTTGCTCGAAGAAGCGCCATCTTCATCATCCCCAAGTTCTTCGTTTCGCGCCCAGCTTTCCTTTAGTTCCCACGCCTCTACCAGCGCATCGTCCAGAAACTCGGCATAGTCAACTTCAAACTCCACACTAGGCTTGACATGCTTCTTGAGAACAGAGTCGGGATACTTGGTAATCCAGTTGGCAATGGTGGTGCTAAGGTAGTGCTTCCGGATCAATGCTTTACGAATTACGTAGGCGTTGGCCAGGGAGGTAGATGAATGCTCCATGAGGTGATCGAAATCGATAGACTCATACTGAACAAACTGTAGAAGACGCGATGAGGGACTGGGAAGTTGGGACAGCGAAGTGATGAGTTCGTACGACGATGGCGGAAGTCGGTTTTCCAGGGCAGAGAGTATGAGGGGCTGAACGTAGGGATCTTCGTAGTTGATCAAGGCGTAAATCTTATCGCCGATCTCAGATCCCGTGGACGCCATACGGCCTGATCTAAACCCCTGGAACTTTTACCTTTCCAGTGCCTTGATTTCTCTCCGGACGGCGTCGCTATGGCAACCACCTGCAAGAAAAAGGAGAGGGCCTTAAATTGGGTATCTCGAGTATAGCGTCAATGATGGGAATGCAGGGTTCGTGAGTGCGTTTTTGAAAAGAAAAATTGATATTGTACACTAGTGAAAATCGTTACTGTAAGGCTATGAGGAGCCTCCATGTGGTATCGAGAGCCCAGAAAAGTTGAAATATCCGTTTTCGCTTAGCTCTAGCCAATCAGCGAGCTGTATTTGTAACGCCATATCATCATCCCCTATGATGTCGGGATATTCTTTGCACGTCAAAACGCCTTTAGTACTGCAAAAAAATCAATCAGACAACTTCCAAATCATCATCGTCGTCGTCATCCTCGAGGGCAGCTATAAGCCCTACATCGAGTCCGCCAAGGCTTTCTCGGCCAGGCTCACGTATGCCTTTTCCATCCAACAGTAGACGAGCCCTCTTCTTCGCAGGACTCGCCTCGCGTGTGCCGCGAAATGCCGAAGGTATTACCTTCTTGGGAGACGGGATGCGGCCGTATTTGAATGCCCACCCTACTGGATCGGTCGAGGTGACCGACTTGCCCGAAGCGGCTCGTTTCCGCTTTACAGGCGCCAGGGAGATGTCTTTTGACGTGCGATTGAGAAGGCTTGAAAAGTCCGTCTCGGTCGGCTTGTCTAGCCTTGAGCTTGTCGAGATGAGAGAAGATGGGCGTGCTCTGGTGGGTAGGCTCGGAGTACCCGCGCCTTTCGACCGCAAGTAATCAGCTCCAGTAGTACCGTCTCCCATAGTCCCTAGCTTCTTAGCAAGTTCGCGCTCCTTTTCCCTCTCAGCCAGTTGCTTTCGAAAGCGGTCTTCGCGGCTCGCCCCCCCTTCCCAGTTTTGGTGATCCCGATCGATGAGCTTGGCCGTGCCTCCAGGTCGCGGGGCGATGTACACAGTCTCATGTAGTTCGCGATCATGATACCTTCCTTCGCGCTTGAGCTCGTCACCCTTTGAAGCGCCACTTCGACCAAACATGCCAAACTTGCTGCTAGCCGGGCCTCCACCAAAGCCAGTCATAGTATTGACTTGCATACGGCCTTTCTTGGCCTTGTCCACCTGTAGTTGGATGTGAAACTCGCAAAATTCCGTTTTCCGGCCATCGATCCATTGACCACAATCTTTTCCATCTTTCCTCTTTGCGTTGCAAAAATCCAGGTCTCGTGCTGTTCCAATTTCAAGTATGGTGTCGTCCGAGCTGGTCAGCTTCAGGGAAAACTTGCCTGTATCGCGGTTCCGTGGCGGCATGATGTCGGGGTTCAAGATGGCGACAACTGTGCCGAGGGGAAGTTTCCAAAATTGGGAAAACCCGGTGTCGAACAAGAATAGATCCAGCTCCCACTTGAGGTCAGTCAACTTGATCACCATGAACTTGCCGCTTTGATCTATTGTCTGTTCTTGACTGTTTTTGGTCTGATCTTTAGCGGCATTCTTGGAGTTGTGCGGTGTTGACTTGTAGCAGATGACACCCAGTACAACATAGTCGTTTTCCCAATCTGGAGGTTCAAATTCTGGTGCTTTGACCGTCTTGAGCAATTGGGGAATAGTGAGGACAGTCTTGCCCTCCAGGGTGCGTGTGACGACATTGTGCTGCATTTCGCGCGATTTCAAGTGCAGACCAGAAAAAGGCTCAAAGCTAGGGGCCTCTGAGCTGTCATCTCGGGACGAGATCTCAGCGTATCGAGCAGCGGTTGGGATTGAGCCAAAACTGGAGGAAGATGTCTTGGAAGACGAGGAAACCGGGCGTGAAGTGTCGTTGCGGAAAGACAATGTGGAGCCAGGTCGAGGGGAGGGTGGAATTCTCAAATCAACTGAACGGCTCTGAGGTCTGGTACGTCTTGAAAACGGCGGGGGCATTTCGCGCGAACTAGGTGTCTCAGAGCCTTGAGAAGAACTGGTCCTAGTAAGTGATGGTCGCTCTGCTAAGCCTTCAATGGTATGCAAGCCAAACCCCCTGTTTCTCCTCAGCTCAGCCTTTTCCTCCCTCTCCTCGCGGTCCTTGTCCCTGTTCCTGCTTTCCGCAATGCGCTCGCTGAAAGATTTGATCTTAGGGGTCTCGCTGCCCTTGAGCGACCCCGCTCGTGCCCTCCCAGCCAGAACGCTCGAGGGCCGCTTGAGACTGATATCACGTGCTGTCAGTCCTTTGTCGATGCCCAGCATGACTCGTGCAGGACTTTTTGGCTCGTCGGGTGGCGGTCGTGTTCGAGTGGGAGAGCGTGGCACCTGTACGCCCGCTTCTTGACTGCTTAATGGTGATGGGTCGGCCCTGCGCATGGTGCTGGCTATGCTGGCTCGTGAGGACGCTCCATTGCGGTCAGCGTCGGCAGATTCTGCTTTCTTCTTCTGCAATGCCTTTAGTTTTAACTTTGCCTCGATGGCTTGCAACTGTAGACGTAGGGTTTCTTCGTCCTCGTCGTCCCCATCACTCATGGGCTGGGTGTAGTCGCGCGACATTGGGCGGCGCTTCGAGGGAGAGGGTGAAACGGAGTTGCGCTCGCGGCGACTCTCGTATTTTCTGCGTGCAGAGGGCGAGCTGAGCACTGCTTCCACAGACGATTGCGGAGGCCAGTTGGGTTGATTATCCTTGACTGTACGGACACACTCAGCGCGTGTATCTACGGTACTCTCAGCGCGGATGACGCACCTTTGGCCTTTGGACTCTCGCGCACAATCATTGTTGTGGTGGTGCAGTGTTGTGAGCGTGTATCTCTCAACAGGGCCCATAGCAACACGGGCAGAATGAGGCTCTCAACGGGCGTGTGCCTGGGCGTTTGATAATGTGAGTGTGAGCGCAAATGTGTAGCCGAAAGCCGTGGGCGTTTGTTGACACCGCGTTGCGTGGTTGACCCCAGACATGACAGCGCCTGTGGGAACGGCTTTCTCATCTAATCCGAAACTGGCGTCTTTGCAGGGGTCGCGCGTTGTCTGCACGCGACGCGACTGACCATCACCCTAGCACCAGGAACAGAGCAGAACAGAACATACAACCCGGATATTGCAATAGACTTGATTTGTACAGAAATCATATACCATTGCTGCAATGGCACGAACACGCTCAAAACCCGCCAAGGCGACACCCACAGAAACAACACCAGAGCCCACGACATGCACCGCAAAGTCACTCCCCGCAAGTGCACCAAACCCACCAAAACTCTTTGTCTTGCCCAAGAATGCCTCTCAGGATGTGCGCATAGTCACTTTGGACAATCCTGCAAACGAAACACCGTCGCGCTACTTGTTTTGTCCAGAAAGGGGTTTTTACGAATTCACTCGCATTGCGGCCCCAAAGAAGGATTGCCGAAGTTGGCTTATCACCAGTAACGATAGCACTACCCAAGAACAAGAGGAGAAGGAAGACACAGATGCCTCGAGAATAGGCAGTGGCTATGTCGCCAAAAGCGCCGACCTATTCATCGCCACGCCCATCGATCTTCTCTTCCTCATTCTGCCCGCACTCGCACCAAAGACCGCAAAAGACACAAAACAGCACTTCCTTGCATTCGATGACTACCTCGACACGCTCTCTTCTTCTTCGCCGCACTGGAAGGCCCTTCTATCACAACACGCATCCCTGAAATCCATGCTGGAAAACCGCATCCGCTTCATATGCGACACAGTCGACGCCGGTGACGAAACCATGTACCGCATCTCCCTTCCCAAGCTCCTCGAAGTGCTAGTCGCAAAAGCCGAACGTATGATCCAGCGCGGCCTCCCCGCCTCTCTCGAAGAAAAATTCATAAAGACCGCTTTGGATATCCCGGTCATGAATATCAAACGCGAAGAAAGCACCCTAAGCGCTGTCTCAACCAGCAACACGGAAACCCTCGAGTCAGAAACCACCACCACCACAACAACAACAACGCAAGAAGATCCCGTCACCCCAGCCCTCACAACACCTCCAGAAATCCCCCATCTCCTCCGCCTCCGCACATCCCTCACCTACTTAACATCCTCCTACCTACCTCCCTCCCTCACCTCCCTCCTCACCCCACTCCTAACCCCGCGCTTCACCCCGCTAACCGCACACCTCTCCACCATCGCCGCTCTCAAAGCCGAAGCCGCAGCGCTGCGCAGCATAACCGACAACGTGTCGCGGAAGCGCGCAGTGCTGGAAGACGACGACAAGATGGCGGAGCGGGAGGAGAAGAAGCGGAAGAAGGAAGAGGAAGACAAGAAGAAGAAGATGGAAGGGAGGGGCATAAAGCAGTTGAAGAAGGTGGATACGAGTGGGATGAGGAAGATGAGTAGTTTTTTCACAAAAGTGGATAAGAAGAAGTAGTTTTGTTTCCTGCATTCTGGGGCCTGGTGCTGGGAAGGCATATGAGAACGCATTGTATTAGTAGTAGAATTTATGTATGTATTCATTTGTATAATTAGCATTTTTAAGCACAGGCATGAGCAATTTCTATATCTCGATATTTTCTCATTCATCTATACTACAAAAATGGCCTTTACTCCTCCCCCGTTCATTACCTCCTTTGTTTCCCCTCGACCCTGTCCAGAGGCGCCCGAGGGGGGACCAAACGGTCCCTAACATTTCCGAGTCGCAGCTCGTTATCTATATATGTACGCTACCTACACACCCTTCCTCCCTTAATATGTGGGGCAATCAACGAACGTGGTCGGAGCCCTTGCATCTCTCCCCCAAACATTACAGAAATTAAAAAGAAGCTCGGCTCGCGACACCAGAGTGAGCTACTGGAAAAAAAAGTGCTGGCTTCAAGCTGTCAGACACTTTTTTCTCCCCTTCTTTCGTAATCATGGGGTATCCTTTTCTTTCTAGAAAGAAGGAAAAAACAAAAAGAGGTGGGAAAAAAGAGCAAGAAGAAAAGAAGAAGATCAGGTAAGACAAAAACAACGCTTGCTATGCAAATGGGACCAAAAACGGGTTATGCACCAGAACATGCCAGAGACCTAATCGGGTAAGTGACAATGGCCATTGTTCCGCCATTCCCGTCGATTACGCAAACTAACATCAAGACGAACGGGCTGCATATGGCCGTTAGACCTTGTCGATTGACAGGAAAGAGGTGGAATGCTCACTTCGAGCTCGCTTGTCGCTGGTCTCGCGTTCAAGCGGCTCCCCACTACGTTTCTTGGATGATTTTGCTGAACTGCTAGAGCTATGTGCTGATTTGACTCGCGTCCAAGAGTCGAAAGAAATTTCTGGGTTTAAGTTAGTATCAGAGAACTCAGGAGGAACGACTGGAAAAACTTACCCTTCTTGAATTTGCGAACAGTGGGTGGCGGTGTGGTGGCTAGAGATGGTGCTTGAACAACGCTCTTGCCCTTGTTCCGGCTTGGCGTAGCAACTGTCGGCTCAATGTCGGTTGTCGCTTCTTCGTCATCGTCATCCTCGATACCGTTCGCGCGGTTGCGCTCTTTGATCTCGGCCTGGAACAGCAGTTTTGGTTTGATAGATGACCGAGTGAGCGGGCGACGGGCCTCATGACCAATCTGGCGGCGAACTCGTCTGTCATCGGCAGAGAGTTCGTCTTCTTGCTCGGCGTCCGAGGCGCCAGATGGAGCATCGTCGTGAAACTTGCGGAAAATCTTGCGACCACGGAAGATGTAAACCATACCCTCGTCACGATCGACTGATTCCTCCATCTTAGCCGACTTCATGTCCAGCGTCTTCTTGGCCTTTTGTGGGGCTCTCTTTGCTTTTCCCTTGCCCTTGGTGGTGAGGAACGGGTTCTCTTCGGTTTGGGCGCCAGGAGTGGGTATGCGTTCCTTGGAATCCGTGTAGATGGGAATTTTTTCTGTGGTCTCGTCCATGTGCTTTGCGAAACTTTCGAGAGTATAAAGATCCTTGGTCTTGCGCGATTTGCGGGGAGTTGGCATGGCCTCGTCAATGGTAGAAGGCCGGTTGGTAGGGAACAAGACTCGCGCAGTTGAACTCACGTCGTCGACGCGGCGCTTGCGGGGCGTCTTAGCTGGCGTTGGTAGCATGCCCGGCGCCATTGATGCGGAGAAGAGGAGGCGTCGACTTGAAGATGGTGCAGCGCAATCGGAGTCGGAGTCGTGCAGAGTAGAGTCCAAGGGTGCGCGGCGGGTAGAGCGTGGTGAGCGGAGTTGCTGAGGTGACGAGGGAGGTGAGAGAGCCAAGGCATTTGCGTGGACAGCTGGTGACTTTGACATAGCTGTGGGAGTCACGTCGCGCCTAGCTCGTGGGGTTGATTGCGCGTGGTGAATGTGAATGTCGCGTCGAGCGGCGACTCTGCTGGACCGACGCGGTGAAAAGGGCTCGTAGTTGTCTCCATGATGCGGTGCAGGCGGAGTGCGCAGGCGACGGGGCGGCGACGGGGTGCGCTCCATGTTGGGTGTTTGCGTGTTTGTTTATGGGGGGGCGGTTGCGATGTTGGTGTAGCAATGGGTATGAATAGTGGGTATCCAAAATCAAAACAAGTCAAGCGAAGCTCCAATGACACTGCGCGCACTTGTCCCAAGACTCAACAGATGCTGTAGCGATATGCGCGGGCGTGGATGCGATAGTTGGGCTGAGTGGTGAGGGTGAGGGTGAAGGTGCAGTCCAAGGGCGGGTGGAGACAATGGGGGCTGCCTCAGATAGGGAAGGGTCGATGCAAGATGAAGGAAGTGACGAGGCTGGGAGATGGCGGGTGCTGTTCCTTGGCAAAGCGGTCAGGGCGGGCGCACATCAACAAACGCCCGGACCCTCCACCCCCCGGCCTGCCCTAACCGCCTAACGCCTGCCCCGCCAACCCAAATACGTTAAACACGCCAAACACCTGTCAACTCGCCTGAAACCCGGCCAGCTCGAGCAGTCCTACGTGTTCTGCTCTTCTGCGGACACGCAAGCAAAACGGCGCACAATGGATCCACCAAATCTCGGCGCGCTGCACCTCTCCGACTCCGACACGGACGGCGACGCGTTGTTCGACACCCCCGCAGCGCGCAAAACGAACAAGACAAAAGATGTCGAAAGCGAGGCAGAAGGCACCACCGGCTCCAGGCCACGCGCAAAAGAGTCACATTATACTGCCGAAGAGGCGCGAGAGGAGGCTTTGCGCAGGGAGCTAGAGAGCATACGAAACGTGAACAAAGTCATTGAGGGTGTCATTGAGAGCCTACAAAAGGCCAAAGACAACATGGCTGTAAGGGACAAATTCGGAAGACACACAATGCCTCAGCTGACTTGCTTCTAAGACCGTGGCCCGCACTGTGCAAAATGCATCCACCCTACTGCAGACATGGACCCGCATCCTGTCGCAAACTGAACACAACCAGCGCCTTATTCTAAACCCACAATGGCAAGGCGCGTCACAAGATCTAGTTGATATCGAAGAAGAGCAAGCGCATCGTCAGCAGGCTGCACAACGTCGCGCAGCTGAAGAGCAGGCACGGAGAGAAGCGGCAGCCAGGAAGATTGAAGAAGACCGTCAACGGGCCGAAGCTGCAGCAAAACCAGGCACGCGGGGCAGGGGCAGGGGCCGACCGCGGGGTGCTTCGACATCGTCTACAGGAAATTATGTCGGAGTAGGCGGGCAGGGAGGACGAGGTATCAGCCGCAGCGATTCTACTAGGGGCAGAGCCGGCAGTGGCATAGGGCGGGGACTGCGTGGCCGGGGACGAGGTCTGGGCTAAGCACGTATCCCACCAAATAGGAAACAAAAAAAGCCCAAAATGTCCAATTCGACTTTTCTCACCTTGGATCTTTCTACTTTGGTTTACAGCGACACTGGCGCGCTCAGCCTGAGTCAACTCAGCATTCGCATTTGCAATGCATCGGGCACTGGCGAATGTTGGCCATCTGGACATGTCCGACGTCGTTGAAAGCGAAGCTATAACAACAGCCTAAGTAATCCGTGGATCTAGGGTCCAGCGCCTGTCAATGGCGCTTGCACTGGCAGCTGATCAGACTTGTGGCTTGTACCCTGGAGAAGAGTGCGCCATCGGAACTAAGACGGTACCTGCAGCTCGATGCAGTCGACGGACCGGATCTGGTGTCGTCGGATGCACTTCTTTAAATGGCTAAGCTTGGGGACCCCACTTGTCGTCAGTTGGACCCCGCTGCGCCAGTCTGCGAGATCTTGCGACTCTCCGCGAATTCAAATTGAATCCTCTTCCCTGTTTCTCAAACTTTTTGTCGCCTGATTTCCTCTGGCCCTTCTTTGTTTGCCGTTCAGATTGCCCATCAAACCACGTCCACATTTGTCAACATGGAAGTTCCAACGGCATCGTCGCTACGCGACATCTACCCAGAGGACGCTTTCCCAGTCGAGACTAAGCGATGGGACAGCTTGCTAGCCAGATTCAAAGACCTCTACGGCAAGCAGGCAGACTTTGTCGCCAGGAGTCCTGGTCGTGTGAATATTATTGGCGAGGTAAACACTATGGTAGATTGTTAGATGATTTGCGGCTCACAATACATAGCACATTGATTACTCTCTCTACGAGGTACTACCAATGGCCATCACAGCCGACTTCATCATGGCAGTTGCTGTCCGGCCATGCGATGAGAAGCCCCGTGTACGCATTGCAAACCTCAACTCAGAGAAATTCCCCACGCGCGAGTTCGATATCCCTGAGGGAGAGATTCCAATTGATGCGACAGAACATGAGTGGACCAACTATTTCAAGTCCGGTCTCAAGGGTGTAACCCAGCTTCTGCAGAAGAAGCGCGGTAAATTCACGTCAGTCGGAATGGATATTGTATGCGACGGAACTGTCCCGAGCGGTGGTGGACTCTCAAGTTCGGCCTCTGTTGTCTGCACGAGTGCATTGGCTGTGCTGAGCGCTAATGGTGAGCAAAACATCGACAAGACTGAATTATGCGAGCTTGCAATTGTATCTGAGCGTTCAGTCGGTGTGAACTCCGGAGGGTAAGCAAACACCTCGGTTCGTTGTCTTCATAACTAACATGTTTCAGCATGGATCAAGCAGCATCAGTCTTCTCTCTGCGCGGCTCTGCCCTCTATGTTTCATTCAAGCCTAGCCTCAAGTGCACAAACATTGAATTCCCACAAACCAACCCAGAGCTCGCCTTTGTCACAGCTCAAAGTTTCGTTGCAGCCGACAAGCATGTCACAGCCCCAGTATGCTACAATCTGCGTGTAGTAGAGTGCACTCTGGCAGCAGTTTTTCTAGCAAAGGCATTTGGTTTGAAAAAGCCTCTCCCAACAGATTCCTCACCACTAGGAGTCAGTCTACGCGGCTTCCATGACACCTACTTCGAAGATAAAGAAGGCGTAGCCGACAACACCAAAATCTCCGTCGCAGAGTTCGAGACCCAACTCACAAAGTTGATCCAACACACAGAAAACTACCTCCCACAAGAAGAGGGCTACACGCGGGAACAAATCAGCGGCCTCCTCGGCATCTCCGTCGACGAGCTAAACCAGCGCTACATGTCCAAGTTCCCCGTCCGCGCCGACAAATTCATGCTCCGCCAACGCGCCCTGCACGTCTTCACAGAAGCCCTCCGCGTCATTAAGTTCCGCTCGCTCCTCGCATCCCCGCCTTCAAAAGACAAGGACTACCTGCAATCCCTCGGTGACCTCATGAACACAACACAGGACTCGTGTCGCGAGATATACGACTGCAGCTGCCCAGAGCTAGACGAGCTGTGCGACTTGGCGCGTGCAGCGGGCTCATGTGGTAGTCGCCTCACGGGCGCCGGCTGGGGTGGATGCAGTGTCCATCTCGTGCCCAAGGACAAGGTCGAGGCTGTGAAGAAGGCTTGGGTAGACAAGTACTACAAGAAAAGGTTTCCGGATATCACCGAGGAGAAGCTGGCGCAGGCGATTGTGGTTAGTGAGCCGGGGAGTGGCAGTATGCTGTTCAAGCTTACGGGTGAGAAGCTTGGTTAGAATCTAGACTTTGGTTTGCAATTGTGAATATATTGGTTGGGTCGGAGAAAAGAAAAGGGGGCTGTGATGTAGATGCTGGTCACTTCCCGTACATTGAGTGTGTTGCTTGAGCAAAATAAGGTCATGAGCTAAAGGAATTGAATCTTTTTGCCTAGATTTATCAGTTTGATGTTTACACATGACTCGGTCTAGTCATCACTTCAATTACTTTCACCTTCACGATATTCACTTACCTGTTGCCCTTGACTCTCCCAAACACCACTATCACAACATACCTTCAAACACTCGATATAAAGCTTCTCTCATATGTTCGGCAACCTCACCTTTTCAAGTCGAGTTTCCTCATCTACAAGCACATATCCTCTTCTCCTCTTCCCTTTTTCTTCCCTACTGTTTCTGTGCCAATATGGCTGGACGCCACAGCAAGAAAAAGCCGCGAAAGTCACCGGTCCGCACAGAGTCTAGTGGAAACGACAAACCAGTTTCCCCGCAGCATCTCGATGCGAAAACGAATAATCGGTGGTGTCAAAGTGCGAGCGAGCACATGTACGGACACAGCGAGTATGCTGGATCCAGCGCGGAACCTGGAGAGCCCGAGTGTGCGAATCTGGATCAAGGTTTCAGCGAGGAAAGCATACGGCGTCAACTTGGGTTTGCGGGCGGAAGCCCAGCACGGACGGATCCTTCAATGCACAGGACATGGGATGAAAGCGGGGTGGGTTCGTGGTGGTATGCATGCGGCTCTAATACGTCGCCGGGCGGTATAACTCCACCATCTACTTCTATTGCGCGGGAGACATGGCAGAATTGTGCCTACCAAGGCTTGTTTCTGCATGGTGATGCTGCTGCAGCAGCAGCTCAGAGAGATGCGGAAGGCATGGTTTTTGGGACGTCACCTTGCGGCTCTGAAGCGAAGCGGGGAGAGGCGGAGCCGCAGTGGGATGTTAATGCGTATTTTGCGTATTTTGCGCCGCTGGACACGCGTCATATGCAGATGGTGAGGAGGGGAAAGGGGAGTGCAAAAGACGAGTGGGAATGTGACTTTTGTGGATTCGAGTGCTTTTGCTGGGGTCTGACGGATGAAGTAGCAGAACCAAGATGCGGTGTCATTGTAGACGGACTAATTGGCCGGATGGAATTTGGGTGGCATATCGGGGGGCGTTGCTGAGTGGCGAGATTCGCAGTCGTTGGCATTGAAAGGGAACTATGCCGACTCGTGTTCCCAGTTGGTTGACGGTATGCAGTATTCGGTGTCGAAAAATGTCAAGCGGAGCATGATGGTATCCGTCCAAGAAACATGAAGCGTCCTACGAATGTGAGCGCTCTGGATGCCCTTTTTTCTGTACTCATTTGCTGTTATTCTGCCAACTTGCGCCGTTCTGCATAGTCGTATCCACGTGATTTTGCATGCGGGTAAAGCGAAGTAAATCGATGCCCTCTTTGTCCCGCGCGGAAGCAACTCCAATGCTAGCCACCCGTATTACCGAGGCTGTGCTCCTGGGAAACGGATATGACGCGCACGCCTTATGGCAGACGAAACTATCGCCCGCTACTTCTTGCAGAAAACCCCATTCAGTCTGTTAGCTCGAACCAAAGATAAGCCTGCTGGGCATCCGGTATGCTGAGAACCTGAAGCTTGCCCATTGATGGCTGTGCCCCTATTGGCAGCTAATCCGATGAACCCCTTTGCTTTCGGCTGTAGGACGTCGCGTGCCTGTGCAATGTATATATGCTGTGCCTCTTCCTCCCTCGTAATCGTCTACTCAGACCACAAGTGAGGCGGACGCCCCTAGCTTGCTGAGCTGGTGTTATTGTTGCAGGGTTTGTCAACCCGTTTGTTCAGGGTCGAATGAGCACATCCCATGCCGCGCCCGTTTCCGAGACCCACTGTTCTGAGATCACCAAGCATCCACGTGCAGTTTGTAGCCACGATTGGTAAGCTCGTCGGAAGATAAAAGGTGGCATTTTGAGCCCATGAGCTTCGACAGGGGCCTCGCCCTAATCCTTGGAGAAACAGATTGAGATGTTCATTTTGCTTGCGAATGTGTTGGTGTAAAAAAGAAGCAAGGCTCAGTCGTCAAGCCATTTCGCTGGTGGCCTGAAAGACGGCTTTCTGCCAGTAGGTAATGCGAATCGACCTGAGGATATCGGCCGACCACGACGCTCCCACGTCTTGGTATGTAGTCATAATAAGCACTGGTAGCTCTCGACCCATGATCCATCCTAGCGGGTGTCGGTGTAGTGAAGGCGATAGCGGAAGAGGAAGCGGGGGATCTTCAAACTAAAAGGAAGGAACCATGACCCTTCGACCATTAGCTAATGATTAACAGTAGGGGGAAAGCTATGCAGCAGCTCTATGCCCAAATGGGTTTAAAAACACGTCATTTTGCGGTAACTAGTAGACTGCATGTTTGGACGTAGCACGTCGGTGCAGACACTGTAAATGAGACGACATGCATGGCAGGTATGTTGAGTATTGAGACTAGGATCACCAAGCAATCCTTCCTTCAGCGTTTCGATCCTAACGTCTTTGGTTTGTGCTGCAACTCACAGAAAGTCAGTTTTGTCCCGAGTACCTTGCTCCAACGTGTCAGCGTGAAGGACTCGATAATGCGGGTATGAATGAAAACGATACCAAAGATGATCACCAAGACGATATATCAGCATAGAGAAGCTACATGGAAGTGCTAGGAGGCCTGCGACCAAGTTTTGCGCATCGATATTGAGGTTGGTGCGTTTCATCAGTCTGGACGTCTGGTGGGCGTTCCACGCCGAGACGGGATGACTTTCCAGCGCAATATGCACTCTGGGCCAGGGTGATGCGTATCCCCAATTCATCTGGCACTTTTCAATCCAAAATAGCCAGCATCCATGACCAGCTAATGCTTTGTAGAAATCACAAAAGCGAAACTCCTGTAAACAACATAGTCATCAGAACGACAGGATACTATAAACCCAGCGGGAGAAGATTGGATTCTTTACAACAGCAAGCGGCGCATACATACCTCTTCGCAGCGGTTCGCAACCTCTAACTATGGCCTGGCTCGTCAAGAAAGGAGAACAAATGAAAAAGAAATTTTGATGTTCACACCCTTTTGTTTACGGTATTCTATCTGATTACCAAATGGCTTTGATCTCGCTTCCGATCCGCTTCCGGACCGCTTCCGCAATATCCACCACTTCGAGCTAGTCGAGGATGTGCCGCGGTATTCCGACGACTCTTACAGGGAAAAGAATACAAGCGGGCTTTGCGACGACAAAGCGTCCTGCGGATCAATGACGCCGAATTCTGTATCGGGAAATTCATGCTTTATCTTTCGATTCTTCGGTACCGATACAGAATAGAATGGCCGGCCGATTCAAAACGTCATGATTCAAATTGCAGGTGTCCCCGTCATGTATATTTGCAGGAAATTGACTTCTCTGTTCATCCTGCAGAGTTTAAGTATACCGTTCTGTTTGGAGATACGCTTCCCTCACGCCCTTCGAGACCTAATCCAGCTCAGAAAAAGCCACCCCCAGAATACCTTCCAACATTTTACCAACAGCTCACGATTTTTCGCGCATACAGAGCAAGTCACATGACAGGGCAGATCGCATACCAGGGCGGTTGTTGTATTCCTGCAAAAAAAATAGTTAAGACCTATCTGCCCGGGAAGCCGAGAAGGACAAATCGTGTAATCACGGGCCTAAGATCCTCGACGGTAGATTTTGAGATCACGTCAAGTGCCGAAGCAATCGTACTAAACGCACTTGCGACGCATCTCGGTTAGAAGGTAACCTTGGGCCCAGGCAAATCGGAAGAGATGGAATTATGCCCAAACGGATCAAAGCTCGCTTCTCAGAGACAGACGGGATGATAGACCCGACAACTCGAGCCGTCCCTCTTTGCATCCGACTGGCTCAGACGGCTGGACTTGCAGATACCTTCTCTGATAAGAAATGGAGGCACTCCCGTCGACCCTCTGGATTGGACCAATTTCCCAACTCGGAAACCAGTACCCGTCGACCGCTCTTTTACGATTTTAGTGAGGCTTGGAGGTGTTTTGCGAGCGATCAGAAGATGTCATGACAATGCATGGAGAACATGCGACAGGAGCACAGACTCTGAACGCAGCCCTCGAGCGCATCTATCTACGGCTTCAATAGAGAGAATCTCATCCTTGGAAGCTTTGGTCGAAGATTACGCACACCACACCTGTATTGACGAATATAACGTTGAAGCCACGTGTGTCAATGCTGCACACTTTTGCGTATTCGATTAGCCGTGATCAAGTACCGAAGATTCTTGAAGAGCGCGTGCAAAGCAATCCCGGACAGATGGACCACCATGACATCGTGACTTGATAATTGGCGGCGAGATATGCTGCAAAGGAAACATTCTCTACTCCCTGTCAGGGGCTATCTTCCGGGCTTTCTCTAGTCCAAAGCAACGACTTCTCGGGTTTCAGAGCCGCTTGGACACGTCAGTAAGTCTGCAAATTCAACTCAATATTTTGATCCATGATCGGATCAATGGTTGATAACGATTGTTAGCACAGCCTCTCATGAATGTCACGTCAAGTGAATGTCACGTCAAGCGACATGTGCGAAGCTTCTCGGGCCAACCATTGCAAATCAATCGTTCCAGGTTCTAATCATACCTTCCGAGATTCCGTTATCAAGGTATCCCGGTCCTGACATCGATTTTAACGAACGCTATATACTCCCGAGATCTATTCTATGCCTAGAAACGGGCCGCATGAATATTGCTCAACGTTTATATCGAGCGGCTCATCGCAGAGAGAAGGCCGGGGAAGCACATCATTTCGGGCAAGGTTCCTCGGCTTCTAGTGGCTGTGTTGATGGGAGTAAGATACAGGCATTATTGCCACGCAAGTACTGCTTCTTCATGCTCGAACAAGCACTGCATCTACAATCGCAATAGGGAAGGCATCATAACGGAGTTGGCGAGACAGAGTACAGTAGTGGATTTGATGACATGCTCAAACTGGCAGGTGTTTTCGTTTGGTTGATGGAAAATGGCGATGCGGAAGCAAGCGCTTCAGCTAGGGATCCAGGTTTGACCAAAACGGCCGAAAAGGCGCTATTCCTGAGGGAAAAAAACACCGAACGCCAATGCATTTCACGTGTAATTCGTCACCGCCCAGCGCGTGTGCCCGATTTCCATATGTTTGTGCTGTTACATGATCCTAACTAAGAGCAGCGCCTCACTCTGGCGATCACGTTGTGAATGGTCCACGGCGTAAGCGGCACGTAGCGGAACATCAGCCCGACAGCCATCGGTTTTGAAACCAAGACTCGGTCATGACGTTTTGGAATAGGTCTAAGATTTCGCATCCTCGCAGTTCATCCCCCGCAATGGGTACAGTGAATATAAAAAAGCGGGGTCGTTGCAGGGACCAGGACACCGTGCTCTGCAGTGCTTGCATCCATGTTGCCTCAAGTATCCGCTATAGTCTCTGCCCCTGGGGCACTATTGATGAGTCTATCTGGTCTGTCATCTCGTGTGTGTGTGCACGCTCAAAACATCCAAGATGCTCAAGACGTTCGAAGGCAGTACTATGAAGGAGGTCCCGGAGAACATTGACAAGTCATCACAACCACCTCCTCCGCCTTACGTGGCCAAGCCATCTGCTTTAGCCGATCCCCCTCGCCGCCGCCAAAGACGCAGTTGTGATGCGTGTCGACGCAGCAAAAGAGCCTGCGATGCAGAAAGATTTGCTGACTTTACAGGCCAATCCTGTTCGAACTGCCTCCGAAAAAACCAGGCCTGCACTTTCAACTGGTTGAAAGCTACTACCAACTCAAACCAAGAACTCCAACGGAAGAGGACAAGATCTGGGACTCAGAGTAGCAATGACAGCATTGAAGGATTCACGACTCAGCATCACGGCTTCCAGAGCAACGCTAGTTTCGAGATGGCTGACCGAAGAAGACGCTCCGCAAAGTCTTTCGGGGAAGAGGGGGATCAAGAAGATGACTCAAACAACCCACAGTCGGAGGATTTAGATAACGAGATGAGCGGGTCGAGCTATGCTGGCGATCTGGTACCAGTGCGATCACGCAAGAGCTATGGACGAAGCCCGTTCTTGTCGTCATCACACTCCCAACGATCCTCATTCAATGAACGGTTTGAAGATAAGCGGATGATGGGTGAGGGTTCATTTCAGTTCAAAGACATGCTCCTAGGGGAAAGGACTTCACGTGGTTTCGTAACCAACGGCCTACTTCGGATTTACAACGACAGCATGGAAAACGCCCTTTCATGCTGGCTGACCGAGCACAACTGTCCGTACACACTACAGAAACATAAAACGTCTGTCTTATCATCAGGGAGAACAAACAGGGAATGGGGTTCGTCATGGGGTAATCGAATGTACAACCGCGTCATCCAGCTTGACCGAGCGTACAACTCCATTCGTATACGAGCTTTAACGGCTGAGGAAGAGCGTACAGCTTCTAAAGCACTCAACATGGCCGTTGTGGCCTTTGCATCGCAATGGGCTCAAGCCGGTGACCGAGGTTCGCGGGCTCGATCGACAGATTACAACTTCTCGACGGACGAATTCCCAGAGTCGAACTACTTTGAGCGGTCAATGCAAGAAGGTCTGTGGCACCAGACATCCCAGATACTTCACCGTGCAGCTGGAATTGATTCGTTCCGCATCGTCTTCGCAATGATCATCTTCTCGCTCACACAACGGCCTCTCGATATAACCCGCCCATTTCCGTACAGCATGTCCCAACTGAAAGCCAAGTACGAATACTTCAAGAGCATCATACAAGACGATGAGTCACCGATATTTCTGGAACTAGCATTGCGCCAAATGATGGCTCAGCGACGTTCACTGGAACGCGCAGAACAAACCATGCCCAGAACAGCAGACGGAGAGTTCCAAGACCCTCTCCAACAAGAAGACCGCGATACCTTCAACCTGCTGTACTGGCTCGGCGTCATGTTCGACACACTTTCCGCTACGATTTCAGAACGCACAGTCGTCGTCGACGACGAAGACTGCGAACTCCCTCGACCAAAGAGCCGCAAACCCACTCCTCCCGCCGCCGCCACATCTGCCTCGACCGCATGGCCAGTGATACCAAACATGTTCAACACTCAGTTCCATCCTGTTCCTCCCGACGCCACCGTTGACGCCCCGACCGTGGACAGTGGGGCATCTAAGGACCCAGAAGACAACAAAGTATGGGGCGACTTGTTCATGCGCAACCCAGACTCGCAAGTAGACCCCAAAGCAACGAGATGGCCATGCAGTTACAAACTCGCCGCATCGACGTTGAGTTCCGCCGCGCCGGTAAAAGTGCTTTTGTATCGACGGGTATCCCAGATTCAAACCTTAGTCTCGCGACAAGCATCAGCAGATAAACTAGAAGTGAGTCAATCCCGTCATCAAATTTAAAGGGAACTTGGAAAGTTCATTTGCACAATCCATCAATTTCTCAGTATCCTCAAGATGATATACTAACAGAAACGAATCTAGTCCGCCATCAACGCCGCCTTCCAAGTATACACGTACTGGTCCCGCACCTACGCTCCCTTCATCTCAGACTGCATAACCCATCACGCCACGCTCCCTACCCGCATCCAATCCTGGTACATTCTTCTCGCGGGGCACTGGCATCTCGGTGTTTTCCTCCTTTCGGACCTCCTTCACACAATCGACACTGCAGCCCTCTCGCTCCCCAACGAGCGAGCTTGCCGCTTGTCTTCCAACCTCGTGGCTACGCTGCGTCGCCAGAATGCGCTCGCGGTTGCGGATCTGAGTCTGGCGAGTATACATCCGGCGACGCAGAGCGAAGAGGAATTTGCGGCAGCCGCGGCCGCGGCCGCAGCCGGGGGTGTACGGAGCGAATTCCATTTTGCGCTCAGTGAAGCGGCACTGTTGACGGAACCGTGGACCATCGTCTTCGTGCGGTCCCTGTGCAGAGCAGGCTACATACTCGTGTCCATCGCGGCCTCGACCGACTTCACAGGCGAAGAACGCGAGCAAGCGCGGGCGCGATGCGGAGATTGCATCGAGGGTCTGTGGTATCTTGGTCGGAAATCAGACATGGCGTTCCTGGCAGCCCGCTGCTTGAGCAGCATGCTGGATGATGCTGTGTTGGAGATGGGGGGTCGAAACACAACGACAACGACGACGGCGACAACAACAACAACCGAGGATGAAGACGAGGGCGGCCGCACGAGTGCGAGTGAGAAGAGTCCTGCCACCGGTAGTGCGGGCGCTGCACCTATGATGACCACCGCACCCACAGCGGATTCTGCTACGTCGCTTTTTCAGAACTGGGGTATCGACGATATCATGCGCGATGTACACCCTCAAAACCTTGCTGGAGCACCACCACAACCACTACCAACAGGCCAGCATCAACGACAACAACAACAACAACAACAACAACAACTCAACTTTCCCCTTCCTCTTCCTCACCCTCCTCCTGCTCCTCCATCCAACTACCAAGGATCTGCAACTAGTTACCCAGACTCCGAGGCCCAGCTTCCACTTCCAGATGGCGATATTCTGGATTTTCAGGCTCCATTGGATTTGGATGCGTCGAATGTTTGGGATTTCAATATGCAATCGTAGTAAGAGTTTTTTGGGATTGGTTCTGGGGAGCGCGAGTGTTCTTTTTTTTTTTTTAATAAGGATATTGATATACATATCTATGGATTGATGATACCTTTTCATGATTGAAATGAATGAAATGACTTTAGACATGCAATCCTTTTGTTTTGTCAGTGTGCATGTTTTTACTTCTTTTGGAGATTGACTGGGTGATAAAAGTAGAGTGTAGACTGCACCCCTTGTGAATTCAATTCGGTCTCTTATTTTTTTTTTCGCCGTTACCTTTGGATTGTCAGAACATGTATGGGTAGACCAAAGTCTTCTCTTGGTCAATGCTGAGCAGCACTCTCCTCCAAGTCCGTATTGATAAAAAGGAGGCTGACTTGTAGTTTGACCGAAATTTGGTAGATACGGGACGAAGCAAAACCGGGCTACTGCCATAGATGATCACATTACCAGCCACGAATTGAGTCTTCAATCAGACGTTTCCAATGCTAAATTTCAGTCGGCGACGGTGCATTAGTGATACAAATACTACCTCGTGGCGGACACAACTATGACAACATAAAATGGGAGGCACGGCTTGCATTTGAAAAACTAGGTATCATTCACATGCTGTCAACCTTAGACAGACCTAACCGTGACGCCGCCCATGCTGGGATTGCCCACGCTGGGACTACCCATTGCCGTATCGTAATCCTGACTTTTATAGTGTCGTAAGCCATAGCAAAGAACCACACAGTCGCTTCACCAGCGATTAGCTTATTTCTTCTTGGCTTCAGCCTCCTCAGCCTTGGCCTTGGCGCGCTTCTCGCGAGCACCAACGTAGCGGGCCTCGGCGCGGGAGTCACGGAGCTTCCTGTAAGCGTTCTCGGTAGCCTCGTAGTTGCCAATGGGGCCCTCCTCGAGCTGGACGGTGTTCTTGATGGGGAAAACGGCAGAGGTGTTGCTGACGAGGTTGTCACCGCTCTTGGCAGCCTTGACTTCCTCGGCGGAGGCGTCACCGTTCTTGGTCTTGCCGTTGCGGCGGGGGAAGAGGATGAGGCGCTTCCTGTACTCCTGGAGGCGCTCGACGTTGGCCTTGAGGCCCTCCTCGGAAAGGTTCTGGCGGCGGGGGTCGACAGAGATACCGATGGTGCGAGCGAACTTGCGGGGGATACCGGCAGCTGAACATGTTAGTAGTGCTCAACAATGTTGGAAGAGGATATTTACCCTTCAACTCAGCAAGAGAGAAACCACGACCGGGGCGGACACGGCGGTTGTACTTGATGGCTAAGGCGGTTAGCGACTTTGTCAAGTGCATTCGGCGGAGAATACTTACTTGGGCAGCGGACAATGGGCCTCAGCTTGTCAACAGGCCTGGGGGCGACCTTTGCAGCCTTGGCAACACGAGCATTGCGTCTGGACTTCTTCTTGCCAGGCTGTTTGCAATGTCAGAAATTTGTACACAGGCGCCACTACTCTCAGCGAGGTGAGAGGGGAATTACCTGGTCGAAGTGCACGCGGACGTAGCGTTGCCTGTCTTGCAGTTAGTTTACTGAAATGATGCAGTACTTTTCCCATTTCTTCAACGTACCAGTCCTTGTGGAAGTGATTCTTCTGAATCTGCTGGTTGTGCTTGATCGCCATTGTATCGGATTGTCTATGCTCGAATCAGCCCTCTGTCATCCAACTGCGCCTTTTCGTATCGCGTGTCGCGTTGACAATTGAATGCTGCGATTGCGCTCGGTGTGATGCGGGAATGGCTAACGTACCTCGACGGCGGACCTGGTGGTTAGTGAATCGTACGGCTGTCGGGGAAAGAAATCTCGACAATCCGCGAATTTTCGAGGTGCCGCTTAGCGTGCGCGAGGCGAGCAGGCGGGAAATCGTTTCGCCGACGCTAGTCCGCTAGTAAGTGGGTCGACGAGACGGCGCACATCCTTCGGGACATTGACGTTTGAACCAAATTATGAGCAATAATGGTGATCACCCATTAGTCGAATTTGTTTTTATCGAGTTGCATTCTAAAAGGATATAGGGCTGTGCATTTTTCTGCGTAATCCTATCGCCATGACTAATTTTACAACAAACACCATACGGCCATTGTAGCAATTCCCCCATTTGACACGCGAGTATATAAATAGCAAGTGTGAAAAGAAAAAGAAGTGAGGGAGGAAAAGTAAGAAAATATACCAAGGAAGAAGTCTACAAGAAAATCCTCCCAAACCCTTTACCATGGGGCAAATATCTACATGAAAGTATTACAAAATACCTGGAATATAGTCAAAGAGAATGACTCTCCCATAGAGACACCTGCCTTGTTTTCCCAAAACCTGCTGCTCTAGTCTAACATACCAACCGATAAACCTAAAAGCCACCATCATCAGCATCGAAGAATTCAGTACCGGCACTGTCAGTACTCTTCCAACTCTCTCTTGGTATCTTGTCTCGAAGCCATGTCAAAACGGCATCTGTACCCTTTTGTAGGACTTGTCGGTTGGGTACCCTGAACTTGTTTCCTTCAACCTCGAAGCCAGTCAGAGTGCCTTGGAGCAAGCCAATACGTGGCTCCAAGCGGTCAATGTCATTGTTTCCAAGGTTCACAATCCTCAGGTTCGTCAGACTTTCAGCAGAGACCTCTGAAATCTTATTGTCTGATGCCAACAGAGTGGTGAGCGACGGGAATGAGGTGTGAAGGGTAGGCAGAGCACCACTCAGCCGATTTATTGAAACGTCCAAGGTGACAAGGTGCGGTGCTGTGAGATGGGCCGTCAGTGGTGTCAAGCTTGTCAGCTTGTTGCTAGCGAGACGAAGATCGCGAAGTTGAGCGAGCTCAAGCGGCGCTGACAATGCAACTCCAATGGCGTTCCTGGAAAGATCAAGAACAGTGAGGTGTTGAAAAGTTCCAACAACAGGCGGGATAGCGATAAACTTATTGCGCTGCAGTTGGAGTTGACGTAAGCCATTAACAAGAACTTCTGATGTAGCATCGTCAACTTCAAGCTCGTCCATATCCTTGCCTGCTAGATCCAAAGTGCCAGAGGGGGTAAGTTCCCATTTGGATTGAGGTTCTTGAGCATCTCCATTTACAAATTCTTCATCACCCTCGGCAGGGAGATCATCAGCTGGCAACCGGGAGGCCAAGTCACGCTTCAAGTCGTCTGTACCCATGGAAAGGAATTTTCTATCACGCAGAGGGTTGGCAGCCACAGTAAGGTGGTCAAGACTCTCCATAAGTGCAATCTTTTCGTCAAGCTGGGTTATGTCGTTGCCAGTAAAATCCGCAGTACGGAGCTGCTGAAGGGCGGTGAAACCTTCTGGCAAAGCTGTGAGTTTATTCTCTCCCACTAGTAGAGTGATGAGATTGCTCCAACCCGATACTGCAGGCAAAGAGGTAAATCGGTTGATAGAGATATTCAAGACTTTTAGTGCGGGCAAATCAATTGAGTCGTCTTCGCATAGCGACGTAAGAGAGTTCTGGGCCACGTGCAGTTCTTGCAGATGCGTTACAGAATTTCTGGAAAAGAAAGCACCCTCGAGGCGATTCTTAGATGCGTGCAGCTCAATGAGTGCGGAAGAGAAAACCTCGGAGGGAATGCTGCGGAGCTGGTTGTCGGTTACATTAAGCGTACGGAGTTGGGTCAAGCGCTCGAAGCCACTGGGGAGGCTATCTAGCTTATTTGCTTGCAGTTCCAGAATCTCCAATGCCGTAAGATCACACAGCGCTGGTGACAAGGGACCTTCCAGGTTGTTCTCGGCTAGCTTTAACTCCCGAAGAGTGGGTATTTGGGCAATAATGTCAAATACCTCCATGGACAGTTTGTTCCTTGACTGGGCATTGTTAGCACTTTCATACAATACACAAGTGGAGCCAGATGGAGGAGAACCCCGCCGGCTTGAGGAAAAACTTACAAGGTTCAGTTTGGACAACTGTGTAAGTCGTCTCAGGCCCATGGGCAGCTCTTGAAGCATGTTGCCGTGCAAGTCAATATTCTGGACTCCACCAAACTGAGGACCCGCCTCGTCGGAGTCAATCATGTCTTCGACTGTAACATCGGGAAACATGCTGTCTGGGATAATTTCAAGCTCATTATCCGCAGCAAGAATAGAAGTAAGATCTACGACCTCGCCCCACGCCACCTTTGTGTCGTCGGGATCATAAGTATACATTGATAATACATCATCTGGTATCTCTTTAAGGCCCATTGCAGCAATGTTCAGGCGGCCATCTCCACGAGCAGTATCGATACGCCGACGCAGAACAGAGGCGCCGCCCTTGGCGCGCTGGTTAAAAGGGTCTTCATTGAGACCAAAGTCGAAAGTTGCAATTTCGGCTGGATCGGGAATAATGACATCCGAAGGGGGTGTACTGTTCCTAACGGGCTCGGCCCTTGCTCGCTTGGCAGCTTCCCTAGCCTTTGCAATCTGTTCTCTCAAGGCATTTGAGGAGCTCGCAGCCTTTGGCGATGCTTCGACGGGTGCCGGAGCAATGTCTGGCTTCTTTGCCGCTTTAGCTTTTGCAATATGGTCTCGCAGAGCTGCTGAAGAGCTGGCGACCCTCCGAACGGTGTCTGGTGTCTTTTTCACTGGTGTCTCGTGACTTGTGACTGGAGAACTGACGGCAGTACCGGGAGGCGACGTTGATTGTGCAAACATGTTGCCGAGGGACGCCCGGGTTCTCGGAGTGCGGGCAGCCGGATTCTTGGTGTTGGCCATCAAACGCGGCTTGGGTGTATCTTGGAGATTGTGGGCTGCCGATAGTGGCTGCTTCTTAACGGTTGACGCGGAGCGCACAAGGGATGTTTGTCTGGTAGGCGTCACAGCTGATGAAATGACATTGGCACTCGCACTCCGCTTGCCTGGGGATGTCATGGACATTCTGTTGGTAGGCGGGACAGCAAGTCTCTTTGGAGTCCCTGGGATGGTCTGTTGCGAGCCATCGCTGGTCGATGGCCTGCTTCCGTTGGACGTGGCCGACGCCGGGCGTAGCGGTGGCGGCATGCTGTTGTCACTGTTGAAGAAGCTCGATCTGCGCCTTCCCTTCTTTGGTGCTGGTGAAGATGGGAGTTGCGATAGACTCTCTATGGTTCTTTCCGAAAGTGAGGGCCGCTGCTGGTCCGAGCCGTCTGAGACGGCGGCCTCGTGTTCCGCGTCGCTTTCATGGTGTGCTGCCCGTGAGCTGGCGCGCGAAGATGCCCTTGAGGCGGACCTGAAGCCTTCCAGGCGGCCCAATGTGTCTTCCGGACCGCCAGGAACAGAAGACGAGGCTGGACGTGACGATTCCTTGGGCTGGGACGAGACAGGCCGGGCCAGGGGTTTCTTGAAGGCTGAAGCATCGCTGTGGTTGGAGGAAGCGCTCGAGGCAGCAGTCGAGGTGCGGCGTTGGCCAAAGTTGGGGATGCCGCTGACTCTACGGGAAGAGGAGTAGGGGGTCCGTCCTGGGGTTGAACTCGGGGGCGCGGCAATCGAGGGGGCGGCAGCAGCAGCAGGAGGAGGGAGGCCGTTGGGGAGGACGAGCGAGGCCCTGGATGTCTTCTTCTGCAGGGTCGAGGCGGTTGGGCGCGAGATGGAGGCCAAGGAGGGCTTCTTGCGCAGTTGCTCGGTCGAGGGGGTGGCACGCAGCTGCGACTGGCTGGCCGACTGGCGCAGGACGGGCAGACGAGAGGCGGGGGCGGGCCTGGGGATGCCCGAGGGGCGGGTTGACGAAGACTGGTCCATGGTGTTGGGCGCTACAGGATGTCACGCTCACGCCTAGGGGTTCCGCAGGCGTTCATGCAGACTCGCATCGACAGACAAAGGAGCTAGAGGCACGCCCGGCCGGGAGCGAGGGTCGAGGATCGTGTGGCGACAAGACAAATTGGCTGGGGCCAGAGTTATTCTCCGCGCCGGGCGCAGCAGCCAGTCTGAGCGTGAACGGGAGGGCGCGGTTGCCCAGCCGACACGCTGCTGTCTGTGTTTTATCGACATGGCGGCCGTTTGGGCCTAGCGCCGCCTGCGCGCACTGCAACCAAGGCAGCCAGCACTGGGCCCGCGACGCTGCGGCCGCCCACGACACGTCTGCCACCACGGCCCATTTTGCCCTTCCTTCACCCTCACCACCGCCTGCGACTCCTTGCCCGCCACCGCACGCGGCCCACAGCGCGCCCCGACGCCGTCCTCGCCTTCTCCACACACGCACAAGTCGCGCTCCCGCGCCGCAATGGACGCCCACCAACACGCTCCTCAACACCACCACCAGCCCGCGTCGCCAGGCACCACCGCCAAGCTGGCCTCGCCCGCCCCCCGCACCACGTCCTCGATGACGCCGCCCCCCTCGTCCTCACAGGCGCCCGCTGCTCGCGCGGCAATGCGGACGCCTTCTCCCCCCACTCCCCAGCTCACCTCTCCCCCGCCCACGACCAAGCTGCCTGACCAGGCGTCTGCCCTGGCCGACTTGGGCGCGGGCCTGTATCCCCAGGACCAGGTCAACAGTGCCTCTGTCCAGGAACTGAGGGCCATGGTCAACAGCCTGTCCAGCGCACTGCGCGATATGCGACTCTCGGCAGCCCACTACAAGCTGCAGCACAACATGGCCGTCATGGAGAGCCAAGAAGCCGCGAGCCGCATGGCTGTCGAGCTGGCCATGGCCCAGCGCGAGCTCGACGTGCTGCAGCAAGCCGAGGAGAAGCGTCGTGCCACAATGGCCGCGCCAGAACAGACGTACCAGGACTCGGCCAACGCGGCCAATGCCGTCATGGTCTCTGAACTGACCCGCCAGAACCAAGTCCTCCAGAGCGAAAACGACGAGCTGCGAGAGATGCTGGAGCAGCAGAAGCGCTTGACTGAGCACCGCGAGGGCGAGCTGGCAAGTCTCATCGAGGAAAACGACCGGCTCAAGACGAGAATCCGCAACAACCGCGACCACATTGCCCCTCTGCTGGAGCAAATCGAGCAATCCTCGCCCCGCTCTACCTTTGGCACTCCCGCACAGCCCACTCCAAGAAACCGTCTCAATCGCGTTCCGCCTCCCCCGCTCTCTCAGCAAAACAGGAGCCAGAGCAACTTTGAGGCTCTGTTGTTGGCCGACAAGATGCTCAGCCAAGACGCGTCCACGGCTCCTTCGACTCCCAACAGAGTGCAGGCGCCAAGGGCACGCTTCAGTCACCAGCGAGGTGCACAATCCATGTCATCACTGCCTCAAACACCCAACCAGAGAGCTGCCTTCCCCCGTGCCGAGGTGCCTCGCACACCGCCCCTCTTTGCGCCAACCACCATTCCCCAGTCAGCACCCCCAGTCCACTACCAGCAGAAGCCCGAAAGCATCCGGCGCCAGAGCAGCAATTCGACCATCACTGCCTCGAGCATTGACGAAGAAGAGGCTTTCACAGACCGAGAAGACGACCAGGTGCCGGAATCTCAAGCGAGCCAGATGGCACGAAGCCTGCTGCAACAACCGCCCCCAGCAAAGGGCATCATGTCTGCACCGGCCTCGCAGCCTTCGAATCTTGTGCAGAGCAAAATCTTCGGCCAGGTCAAAAAGGGCCATGGCTTGACTCGCGCAAACGAGCTCAAGAGGGGCCGCATGCCATCAACAGCGGACTTGCGAAATCAGACCAGTCCGCCAAAGCGCGGACGCGTCGATCAAGGTGTAGGTCTTGGCATTGGTGGTTTGTTGCGCGAGTGAAAGATACGAACTGTTCCTGACCTTTTTTGTGTGCCAGGGCATTTATTATTAAGTCTTCACGAACACTCATGATTATGGCGACAACGGGCAAGCGAGCGATTCGGATTTGCACCTGGCAGCTGGTTTTGTATTTGTGCTTTGTTTTTGTTTCGGGATACCCTTCTAGCTGCGCTATCAGACGACGCAGCGACTTGTTATTGTATTTGTTTACGTCCATGTGCTGATGTATGTTGTATGAGGTGACATGTGGTGAACTGAGGAATTATTAGTTTATGTAGATCTACTCGACTCGAATGTTAAATCCAATCATGCGCGTGATGCCATACGCCTACTTGAGACTTGTAGCCTCTGGACTTGATGGTACCTAATCCTTGTCCTCTGCATGTCGTTGCATTAAGAAGGCAGTGGTATAGATGCGCCTTCCTGAAAAGTTGCCATTAACTCATTCCCTGTGTTTTTGTGGTAATCACAACCATTACGTCGCTAGCGTCGCTGCCAGCTCTTGACATTAACCGTTCTCACATTTCTTCATTCAACTTGTTTACTGACCTCATTGCATGCTCAAGAACTTAAACTCCGATGCTAGGATATCGGGACGAATTTCATCAGTGTGGACGATGACAGCCAAAGACCAAACGGATTCCATCCCCATCTTCACTTTCGCCTTCATCATCACACAACACGGTTATATCACTGGAAACCACTACTCCTTCCAGTTCAACACCCAGTCAACATCTCAACTCTGTGCAACAAACTGAAAACACTCATCGTACAGGAGATCGGAAATTGCAGACATGGGCTCAAGGTTGCACATGCTGAGTGGCAGAAGATGAAAGAACAGGAAGTCAATATTATTAAAGCAGAGAAGAATTCATTAGACGAAGCCCATGAACGCATCAGGCAGCACAAATGCACTTGCGACGAGATTAACAAGTTGCTCAAAACCTTACCAACAAACCACAGCGTACAGATTGTGCATAACGCCTTAATGCTGTTCTTGCTGGAGCAAAATCATCTGGCCGTCATTGAAGAAGATAATGGAGCTCATTTGGGAGACAGAGTATACCAATGAATGGATGGAAGGAAGAAAGATTATAGAAAAGGACCTGAAGTTCATATGGCAAGAACAGAAAAAGCTCATCAACCGCCAGCCCAGATGCGAGGAGCTTCTTGTCCAACGTTAAAACGAGGCCGGTGAACTCTTGGGGAAGCAGTCAAAGTTCTATAGGGCGCTTCCAAGTCGAGTCGAAAGTGAAGCTGCCAGTCTCAACCGAAACTTGGACAATTTCAACTGAAGCATTTGCAAGGTCCAGACCTTCCATTGTGTAAGAAACCATGGAAATGGGGAAATGGAGTTGGTTCTAGTGCAGTACTTGGGTTGTCTTTTCTCATAGTGCATGATGATGTCTCTTTGATGATACCGGTGCAGACCCTCCATCGACCCTGTTCCGGCAGTTGTCGCTTTCCCCGCACAGGGTGTGAAGATGCTTGTGTATTACAGGAAATGACAGTTAGGAACCCTTTCTATACACGATCACTATTGCCCAAGCTACTGTTTTCTTGTTCGGACGACCAGTCTCTCAGCATCTTAGCGACATTGTCAAGCGGCGCGGTACGACAATCAACATGGAGCGTGTAAGTACTGGATCTGCGTCCCCAGAGTTGATGATACATTGTCTTATGAGATTCAAATGTCATTATACCTCGGTGTAGATGATTATCATATCTACCATCTACTCAACGGTTCTATTAGGAACTACTGACTAGATCATTAGGTCCGCAAAATTTGCACCCTATGCAAAATCGAAAGGCAATTTGAGCACAGCACAAGGCGCGGTAACAGCTGCCCTATCCCGCGACCCTCGCGAGGACATGCCAATCCTAATGCTCAGAAAGGACGAACGGCCTTTGCTTATGACACTACACGAACAAATGCACCGCTAAAGAAGAGAAACACTCTTCGGAAGAAGAATAGAAATGCTGCCATGAGTACCCAAGGTGCTGGTAATCCACCACAGCAATAGAATCCAGGCTTACAAAAGCACAGCAAAAGATCGTTCTGCAACATGTCATTCAACAAAAGAAGACACAGGAGTCGCAAAATCTGCATGGCTACGTACATGGCTTAACAAGCTTCCCATCACCACATGTCCCAAACCCCCCACAACACCTCCATCCAGCACCTCTCCCCCTCCCCGAAAAGCCACAAGCGTAGACCTGTCCCGCATAATCCCCTTCCGCTGCACAGAAAAGTCACCCACTTCCCAACCCACAAACACCACAGCACCCACCGCCCACCGCACCCGCATACCCCTAACCACCAAATCCAGCAGCATTCCCAACCTCTCCCGCCACCTCTCCCTCTCCAAAAAGCCCACCCATAAAATTAACACAACCACCACCACCCCTTCTACCCCAACAAAACTCCAAAAACGAGCTCCCGCCCCTCCTCGCCCCAAATCCACCACAACTACCACAACCGCCCTTCGCCCAACCCCAGCACCGCCCTCCTCCTCTACCACCACCACCCCCATGCCCCTCGCTGAGTCGCACCCAGAACAGCCAAAAGGATCAGTGGTGGTGGGTGATGGACGGAATAGCACTGCGTACCTGACTATTACCGCTGCTGCCACGGCGGGAGAGGAAGAAGAGGAGCTGGAGATGAATGAGACAAGGCGCGTTATGTGGGAATATTGGAATGTGCACTGTAGGTTTTTGGTCGAGGAGTGGAGTGATGATTGAGTCATCGGGCGATTGATTTCGAGATTGTTTTGTGTCAGAGGCTTGATATGGCTGGGGTTTCCTATGTTGGCGTGATTTGACTTTTTGTTTTCATTCTTATTTGGGGGGTGGGAGATGGAGGAGGGTGAGGAGGAAATTTAATAGGAATATGGGGGGGTATCTGGTTGAGGGATGTATACAGACTGTTCGTGGGAGAGAAGGAGAGAGTCGACACTTTTAAGACGAAAAAAAAAAGGTTATCAGTGAATACCATGGAAAAGAGTTTTCATGGAGTGATACCCCCCTTCCCCCCCGTTTCTAGATATGGACAAAAACAAAAGGACTTTCATAGTTTTACAAACACAACAAAAAGGAACGGAAAAAAAGGGGGAGACTGCAAGGACTAGGGCTAACCGCCGGGTTAACCCTATATAAAAAAAATACCTTATACATCCCCGCCATTGTGCGCTAGTCTTGCAGTCGATCCCCTCCATTTTTGACAGGAAAGAAAAAAATAACTAAGAAAAAAAAGGAAAAATCCCCATCATGCACGTTGGAATTCAAGTTCTCACTTCCTCGCCTTTCCCCTCGACTTACTCCTCGTAACCCTTGCCCTTGGTGCATCATCATCCTCGGTACTCTCGGTGGGAACGTGAACGCCCAGCCCCTCGTCAGCCCCAATCATAATGCCATCATCTTCCGTCTCTCGATTGTCGGAATCGATACCTCCGTCCGGACTCTGCGTGCGGAGATGAGCCTCGCTTTTCGCACGGCGTTCAGCCTCCCAGCCCTTGACTAGGCGTGTAACATCGTCTTCACGGACCTTTTCCTTGCCGTTCCATGCACTACAGCCGCCACAGCGCCAGCGGCCGACGTCTTCCAGTGTACGCGCGCCGGGGGGTGCTTGGCCGTTGACGAGGCGGCATTCTGTGCAGATTAGGGCGAAGCGGTTCTTAGCCTGCGTCTCGTCTTCTCCGAGCAGGGCATCGAGAATACGGTCGTACCAGTGGGTTTCAGGGACTGTAGGGGGTTGTATGGCAGGTTCCTGCTGCTGCTGCTGCTTGTTCAGATGAGATTCAAAGGCATTGGATGCAAATTCAGCACCGGGAGCATTGAGGGGAGGCAGCGATGGCGGAGGTGGAGGTGTCACAATCGAAGGCACCTGTTGCGGAGTTGTCGGAAGCTGGGGAGGCTGAGGTCGGTGGATGTTTGCAGTAGGCGGAGGAGCTATGCCAGTGCGTGGACCTGGCGGCGGTAGCGGCTTCTGGGGTCCCCTTGACCTGCTGCGAGCAGGAGAGTCATCCTCATCCTGAACCGACTCTTTTGGCTTTGGCGAAGCACCACCGTATTTCTCCAGCAGTTGCTGCGTTGAGTTGTACTTTGTGGCCTCCTTTAGACGCTCGATAGTGGCGTCGCGCTCCTTATCCAACTTTTCGAGGTAATGCTCCGTGTTCCGAATGCGGTAGTCAAAGTAGCTCATGAGCGCATAGCGTAGACCGTAGATGCTGCGGCACGGTGGTTAGCCAGATATGACGCGTTAACGGCTCCAAAGGTGGGACGTACAGTAGTGGGCCGCCCGCGACAACAGACCCCTCAATGGGACCCCAATTCTGCCAGCCAGTGACAAAAGTGAGGACGACGGCGATCAGAATATATGCAAAGCCAGCATATAGCGTCCACATGACACGCGCGCGGCGCGCAAGCTGCTTCTGTTTGTCATTTCGCGCGGCGGCTCTGTTGATCTTGCCAGTGAGGGCGTTGAGTGTTCTCTCAAAAGACGCGGCGTCTTCGCTGCCCTGTTGCCGTTAGCGTGAGAAAGCGGGAGGTAGTGAGAGAGGATAGTCACCTTCCAGGGCCAGAAAGACACCATGGTGACTCAGTGGCAGATCGAAGCCCGGCGTGGGAGCTCGATTTGTACTGTAGAGGCCAGTTGTGCGTGCTCGTGTGTGGACCTCTGTGAGGCCTGACATCAGCGCCGACGCAACTGTTGGATCGACGACAGGGATCTTCCCGAAAGACAGCATCACGTGCAATTAATCTTCTTTGCGGACCTCCGCGCCCTCGTTATTTGCTATCCATTCAACTCTCACGTCAACACACCATGGCATTGGCAGCTTACCGGAATCTGCTGCGGTCTGCGCGCATCGCCTTCCAAGGTACGGACACTTCACTGTATTTTGAAAACATGCTCACAGCGATAGGCGACACTCACACACTCGTGGCCGCCCGCGCAGAGGTCCGCAAGACCTTTGAGTCAAATCGCAATCTGCGCATTGGAAGCGAGGAGCTGCAAAAGTCTTTGGTACATGCAGAAGAGGTGTCCAAGTTCCTGCGCGAGAACGTAGTGCAGGGCCAAGCGGAGGACCCAGATGGCAAATACAGTATGCAATATACAACATCGCTGGCATTGGCGCCTCCCGGCTAACAATCTATAGAACTACGGATACATGAGCACACCGAACGAGGCGATAACGAGGACATCAAAAAGGGAAAGGGAAAAACTACATTAGGCGGAACAAAGTGCTGCTCGTCCTAGGCTTTTTATCCATAACAAATTGAATCGTGATACCCATGCATGCAATCCGCGCATCGCAAAACGCCGTCCCAATGCAAGGAAATATTAAACTAGTTTAGTTGCCTGCCAGACTGGCATATTGGACTTCATCGTCGGCACCGGGTGGCGGCGCAATGACCATGCTGTCAAGACTGCTCTGTGGACCAGCCTCAATGGCGGCTTGAGAAGCGGCAGCGGCCCGTCGCGATGATCCAGCCACTTGACGCCCTTCCTTTGCGTATTGCATCCTGACATTCTGGTCCAGGCTGTCCAGCTGCTTCGGCTTGCCCCAAGTGACTCGCATCGGGCAACCCTTGATAACTACCTTGCCCTTGAGAGATGCTGCCGCAGTCTCTGCATCCTCTCTCTTGGCGTAGTTGACGTATGCACAGTGCGCTCGGTGCGAGCAAACCAGCGACCGGAGCTGGCCATATTGTGTAAAGTGCTTGCGGATCTCGTGTTCTGGCAGATCGTCCTCTACACCAGTGACAAAGAGCGATGCAACGTTGGGGTCAGAAGGTGGTAGCCAGTCTTGCGGACTCGGCTCTGCGGCTGGACCTCCCATGCGACCTCCTCGTCCTGGCCGTACACCTCCTCGTGCAGAAGGACCGCGAGAGTCTCGGGTTCTGATGGGTCCGGGGATGTGGTTGCTCTCGCGGCTCGCACCTGCACTTGCACCTCCGCTACCACTACCGCCGGGCGCTGGCAACGCCTTTTGTCCGCTGCTCTCGCCCGCCTCGGCCTCTAACCGTCGTTGCTTCTTGTAGTATGGCTCGCTCTGTGCGAGGCGCTTCAAAAGATCACGCGCCTTCTCGTCGGTCTTTTCGTAGGCTTCCATGGCTCCCCGTCCCTCCTCGATTTCTTTCTCGTGTTCCTGCGCGTAGTATTGTCGGTTGATGTCGCTCTGCGGGCCAGGTGCAACCATCTTCAGCGCCGCGTCACGGACAACAATGGGCAGACCAAACGAAAGATCCAGCATACAGTGCTGGCAGCAGTTCTTGAGACGCGCGCATGTCAGGCAGATGTTGGTGCGCTTCTGTCGGGAGGTGCGGTCGGCCTTCCAGCGGAAGATGGTAAAGGGTCGCGTGCAAATCTTGCACTCGGCGCCATAGTCCTCCTTGAGCATCTGCACATAGGGGTTATCGGGCAGACATTTTTCGCAGACGGACGGAAAGTCAGTCGTCTCCCAGCCGCTGCGGTTCAAGTCGCTCTTGATCTGGGGCGGCATGGCGGGCAAGGAGCGCGCAAGCAGTCGTGATTATTGAGAATGTCTTGCGGCAATCTACTCTGGCGATGGCAATGAGCGTATCAGCAGGCGTTGTGTACGTGAGAGTGGGTCGCAGCGATGATTGATTGCGACGACGGGCGGCGAAGATTGATGAGCAAGGTTGGTGGAGTGGCGCTAGGAACAAATGTCCAGGCTTGGCTTTCACGCGCCACGAGGGGGCAGCCGCTAGTGCCGTTGACCAGACCGCGTACAGAGTGCGCTGTGATTGGCCGACTGCAGATTCCCCCCTTTGAATTTGTCCACCCTGCCTACCCATACCGCTCTTTCCCTCCAGCATTGCGTTCTTATAAAGTTTCCAGGGTCCTCGCCTTTGGAATTGCTTCTCCGACACCCGCTTTCATCTGTTCCACTTTTACATCACTCTTTATATCCCTTCTAATATCTACAATGTCTCCCGTTGCGCTTGAGAAGGAGGACCATACTCGCGATGCCGAGTTTAACAAGGCCATGCACGGCCAGACTGCAAAGTCTCGCGGTGGCATGACGGCCATGCTCGGCAAGGACAAGGCTGCTCAGCAAGCCGCCGTTGACGAGTACTTCAAGCATTGGGACAACAAGGCGGCAAAGGACGAGACCGAGGAGACTCGCAAGGTATGCAACAGGTGGCTCCTAAACACTAGCATGTAGGCTAACGTGTGACAGGAACGACGAGACGAGTACGCCACCCTCACCAGGCATTACTACAACCTTGCTACCGATCTATACGAGTATGGTTGGGGCCAGTCTTTCCACTTCTGTCGCTATGCCTACGGCGAGTCCTTTTACCAGGCAATTGCCCGTCACGAGCACTACCTTGCCCACAAGATGAACCTCCAGGACAACATGCGCGTTCTCGACGTTGGGTGTGGTGTTGGTGGACCTGCGCGCGAGATTGTCAAGTTCGCTGGTGTCAACGTCACTGGCCTGAACAACAACGACTACCAGATTGAGCGTGCGACTGCCTACGCCGAGAAGGAGGGTCTTTCACACAAGCTCAACTTCGTCAAGGGTGACTTTATGGTAAGCATTGCCTGACGCCTAGTACTATTCCCCACTAACGTGCGCCCAGCAAATGTCCTTCCCTGACAACTCCTTCGATGCCGTCTACGCCATCGAAGCTACCGTCCACGCACCGTCGCTCGAGGGCATCTACAGCGAGATTTTCCGCGTCCTCAAGCCCGGCGGTGTCTTTGGTGTATACGAGTGGCTCATGACCGACAAGTACGATAACGACAACCCTCACCACCGCGAGATCCGCCTTGGTATCGAGATTGGTGATGGTATCTCCAACATGGAGAAGGTTGAGGTTGCGCTCGCTGCCATGAAGGCGGCTGGTTTCGTCATGGAGCACCACGAGGATTTGGCTGAGAGGGACGACCCTTACCCATGGTACTGGCCTCTGTCTGGTCAGCTCAAGTACATCAGCACCCTTGGCGACATCCCCACCATCCTTCGTATGACCAAGGTTGGACGTGGACTCGTCCACAGGTTCGTTGGTTGCCTTGAGACAATTGGTCTTGCCCCCAAGGGCACTCAGAAGACCGCCGACAGTCTTGCCCTGGCCGCTGACTGCCTTGTTGCCGGTGGCCGCGAGAAGCTTTTCACACCCATGTACCTCATGGTCGGAAGGAAACCAGCGGATGCTTAATTTTTTTTTCCTTTCTTGCTTCACCTTGCATTAGAATTCGTTTCGCATCTTAGGCCTGGTTGGTCGCGGGCATTTTTGTTTCATCTTTCCATGTAGGAGAGCAATCTCCTAGCATTTACATCAACGCGCCTTGGAGACGCGGATATATATAGTATAATAGCTGGTAGCAAAGCAAGGTCTAGGGTAGGTGACGGTAACGCGAAACGTGGTGAAGATAGAGGAGAATGAAATACGTAATACGCCTATTGGAATGGACACCGAACGTGGGAGATGGATGAGTGAATGTTCAAGGGCTGTGTTTATTATTAGCATGTCTGGAATGGAGATGCGGTGCGGGATTCAAGTTGGCATGTCCGTCCGGCAGAGGCGTTATTCCCCGCCGTATGTGTTAATCCCCGGCGTTGAGGGCTGCCGGAGCTGAAGAAGTCAAGTGTCGGGTGTTCTCGCACTTGAGAGTAGGGGACCCACCCGAAGCTTTATGACTTTTAGCGCGTTCAGGGCCCCAACGATTCGCATCCCCGACCTCCGAAGAAATTGTCCAGCAGCCCCAGCAACCACCAGAAGCCTCAGCGGCCAGTACTCGCCTCCGGCATTTCCTCACCACACCCCCCAAAACCCGCACATCACACACAATGGCTGCCTCAAGGCTCCTCCGACCGGCCTCGCGCCTCATTGCCTCGACACGACAGGCGCCCGCTTTCCGACCTGCTTTCCGCGCCGCTGCCCTGACACCGTCAATTGCAAGGAGAGGATATGCGTCGGGACAAAAGGAGATGACTGTGCGAGAGGCGCTCAATGAGGCCATGGCCGAGGAGATGGAGCGAAATGACAAGGTCTTTGTGCTCGGAGAGGAAGTTGCGCAATACAATGGAGCGTATGTGACCCACCATGCCCATTTCGGACAATTCAATTCTGCGATGAGCGAGAGACAGCTGCAATCAGAAGCAGCATATGTCCCATCGATTCGAATTGGGCTCAAGCTAAAGCGGGTGCTGATGGATTTCCTAGTTACAAGGTCACCAAGGGCCTCCTCGACCGCTTCGGTGAGAAGAGGGTAATCGACTCTCCCATCACCGAGTCTGGTTTCGCTGGTCTGACCGTCGGTGCTGCGCTCGCTGGCCTCCACCCCGTTGTAAGTACTTTCAAGTTCTCCTGATCTACAAAAGCAATTCTGACAGAGATACCAGTGCGAGTTCATGACCTTTAACTTTGCCATGCAAGCCATTGACCAGATTATCAACTCCGCCGCAAAGACCCACTACATGTCTGGTGGTATTCAGCCCTGCAACATCACCTTCCGTGGTCCCAACGGTTTCGCTGCTGGTGTCGCTGCCCAGCACTCGCAAGATTACACTGCGTGGTACGGAAGCATTCCCGGATTGAAGGTTGTCTCGCCATACAGTGCAGAGGATGCCAAGGGTCTGCTCAAGGCTGCTATCCGTGACCCTAACCCGGTCGTTGTCCTGGAGAACGAGTAGGTTACATTGATTGCGCAGTTAGTTTGCAAATTGCTAACGTAAGCCAGGCTTCTGTACGGTCTCTCTTTCCCTGTCAGCGAGGAGGTTCAGAGGGACGACTTTGTCATTCCTGTAAGACACCCCACCTTTTTACCCACTGACCAGCATACTAACCGTACCCTCAGTTCGGAAAGGCCAAGATCGAGCGCCCCGGCAAGGACCTCACCATCGTCACCCTCTCCCGCTGCGTCGGCCAGTCCCTCGTCGCCGCCGAACAACTCAAGTCCAAGTACGGTGTTGAGGCCGAAGTCATCAACCTGCGCTCCATCAAGCCTCTTGATGTTGAAGCCATTGTCAAGTCCGTCAAGAAGACCGGCCACATGCTCTGCGTCGAGTCTGGCTTCCCCAGCTTCGGTGTCGCAAGCGAAATCATGGCACTTACTTGCGAGTACGCCTTTGACTACCTTGAGGCTCCCCCTGCTAGGGTCACTGGTGCTGAGGTCCCCACTCCCTACGCTCAGAAGCTCGAGGAGATGAGCTTCCCCACCGAGACTCTGATTGCCGACTACGCTGCTAAGCTACTTAGGGTATAAATGTCGAAAGTAGTGGTTAGTTGCAACTGATAGGTATAGCTCTGGGTATGCAATTGATTCAGTGTGTATCGCGCATGGAACATGGTTAGGGGGAGGGCGGATTGGCGTAGGCAGGGATGATAGCTGGCCCCCGATTTTAGACTCGAAACGCGGGAATCTTTTTTGGGGTTCCTTTTTCGGGGCATCTTTTATTTTGTATGATCAGATGATGAAGACATTTGGAATATTTGGTTTTCCTCTCGCCTCTCTGTTTGTTCTCCGTCGTCTTGAAGGGGAGTGTTTTTTTTGGGTGTATCTCGCCATGTGTTTTGTTATGTGTGGACAACGAGTGTGAATATCTTACATGTGCTCTAGAAGGGATGGATTAAAAGATATAGAAACGCGAACAATTCGACTAGAAAACCTACGCTAACATGATGATGTAACTTGTTTCGTTGGTTGATATCACGAGTTTGATGGGTTTAGCATAAATTTCAGCATCTTGGCCTTTTTTGGGGGGAGGGGACTTTGGGTTACAACTTGGAGTGTGCAAGTACCAGCTTGCATTGATGAAATTACAGCAGGATTCTTTTATGTCTGATTGTCTTTTACATACGTTGGACCACAGAAGAGAAATTGCAGTGGATATGTAAATTGTGCGAGTTTATCACGGATGTTGGTGGTAGTGTGGAGAGGTTTGCATGCAACTGTCTTAGATTCTAATAGATTTTGTCATGAGTCTCGATGATGTATGCTGGGTTCATTTTCTTCTTCGCCTGGAAGAGAGTGTGATTTTTCAGATCTCGTGCAAGTTGGAATTGCGCATGTAGGTTTTGGTTCTTACTCTTACTTTTTCTTGTTTCTCCCCGGCTTTCAAGAGATTCTGTGTGTACTTGGGGTTGTTGCAGTTTCACTTCATTAGTATGCTGTTTTCGTTTTGATCTTGAAGAAGCGACTGTGAGATCAACGGTTTCCTGCAAGGTGCATTATATCAGAGTATTGTGTGGGGGTTTCAGATGCTTGGCTTAGTTGTGGGGTATTGAGGGGGAAAGAGGTAGGTGGATGCATGGTTTTGTGAATTTGGATGGTGTTACGGGACTTTTCCTAAGTAAGTGAAAAGGAAGAGGAGAAGAGGGAAGGTGGGGGTGATGATGGTTATGAACAGTCGATAGGATTGGTAGGTATACAGGAGCATGGACGTGAATGAGGAGTGGTGCGGAAATATGCACCAGGAAGGTGGGAAATGCTGGATAGGTCAGGTAGACAGTGGACAGGTGTGTGAGAAGAAAATTTTGGNGGGGGAAGGGGGATTGCTATTTGTCTGTGAGAGGACGCGTGTTTTGTTGAGAAGTGTTAGTAGTTTCAATAGTAAGTGCTCAATTGTGCTTGGATGAGATGGTGTCCACCATCTAACCGGAGACCAAATCAACTTTGTATGCTTATATGGCCTTTGAGTTCATCAAGCAAGGCTTCAGTGTCAAGTTGTAGTGCCAAGGCTTTTGATTTAGAGTCGATCTGTGGCAAAGCAGAACTCTCTTGATTGGAGACTAGGGGGAATAGATAGTCAGAAGTGTTACGTGTTGTCAGATCAGTTCACATCTGTTGAAAAATTCGCAAACATGGTTGGTTCCACACTGTCTGATACCGTGATCTTGTGGCAAGCTGTTCGAATGAGACCCGCAGTTGGAAGAAGTCTAGGCCTGTGTGTTTCTGCAGGGTTCTCCGAGACTGAATCTGTGTGATCGAACTGTCTCGTGTGGGGGAGGGGAAGGAGCGGTCAAGAGCAGCGTTAGATGAGGGGAAAGTAAGTAGTGCTCGTATCGATGGAAGACTGTCAGATGCCCAGTCAATCCAACATTTACGGTCAAGTGAGCATGCTTGAATGTTTTTCCCACCACATACTTTATTTTCTTTGTGGGAATAGTGGAGTCGGCGTGTTTCTGTTGGGCGCACATTGGGTTCTTTTTTTCTGGCTCAAAAGGCCCCTACCAGAATTGAGAGATTGTTGTTCCTGTGTGACTTCTGCAACCTGATATGGATTCTGAAAAGTTGTCTTTCCAGCCCAGCTGTATCACTGTGAAGATACCGAGGTAAGTTTGAGACGCCCTGAATGCTCGTTCGACTAGGGAAATTTCTCCATTCCGAGATTTTTCCCAGGACCCCGCATCCAAGGGAAAACCCGGAGTCTGGACGGTGTTCCATCTCTACTTGGGTTCGAATACAAGACATACACTGTTGACTCCACCTTACGCGCGTTACTATTTGACACGCGTAGCCTTGGTGTGGTATATGTAGTAAGGCTACACCCAATCGGCCCGAGAAAACATGTCCCTATTGTGGCAAATCGCGGAGTCACTGAAGGCTGCCTGTTGAAATCGCAGGGGCGAATGCACCGGACGTGGATAGTTATTTCTTGGAAACTGGGGTTGTTGCAGACTGGCATGTGCTTCCAACGCCAAACTACGGCCGTAGGTGTAGAAAGGTATGGTCCATTATCGGACCGGGTACGCATAATATGGAGGGTCCTTCCTATTTGAGCTGTGTGGCGCCTAGAACTTGTTTCACGCCCAATCTCGATCACTCCTTCAATGTCACCAGATACCACACCTTTCAAGAGACGACAATTCAACAACATGCCGTCGCAACTGACTCGTTCAACAGTTGTGATCTGCGTCGCAAACGGGAGGGAAGACGGGTCTGGAGTTCCGGCCCACAAGATCGCTTAACGGACATGGCTCTGAAAGAGACACAGGGCGAGGTACCTGGGGGCGGGAAAACAGCGGTTCATCCCAAAATGGCACCACGACCGGTGCACGCGGCTCCGCTCCTACGACTGCCTAAGGAAGAGATCGCAATCGTATGACGGGTTGCGAAAGCTGGATCAGCAAGGTCACATTCACAGCCACTCGAGCGCAGTACAGCCCCACAGGGGTTTTCTCAACGACCCTTGTTGCAGGTGCTGGGCTCCATTGCCCCGCCTTCAACATGGGCTGATTCCCAACGGCATCGGGCCAAATTTCAAGTCCAAACATTTGCTAACCCATTTGATCTATGTCCCGTTGGGTGTGGCTGCGATTATGCCTTCGTTCAGAGCCTCGGCACTCTCCATGATCAGCACTAATTAGCTACTTCCAGTTTCAACCCTCGTGAATTACCCCTCGACGATTAGTTATTGGACGATTTATGTCAACATGCAGCTATTTTAGAGGAGGTGGGTTCAGAGCCGGACCTCATCCATGACGGGAAATGACCACCGCCTCTTGTAGTCCCAGTGTAATGGCTCTCGACAACCACTACAACTTGGAACTACTCTACACGTGGAATGTCCCATGGCTCTGGACACCACTTTCTCGTTCTACTAGGTGCGTGTGACTCCCAGCCACCCCCCAAAGATGCTACTTGGAGCGAATTGGCGGTCGCGTAGTCCAGTGTTTATGTTACATCTGGCATGCCACATGATTTGGTGCAGGAAGTGTATCTGGACCGATCCTTGATCTGGGTATGGCTCAGTGTAAACTTGCCCGGGTTTGATCATCGCCAGAGTGAACTGCATCTCCGTCCTTGGCATAAGGACGAAGTCCGCTCGAAATGCCATTGCTTATCATCTCCATCTCACGATAAGGCCAAAACCCGTTATTTTTCACTGTTCCTCAAACTATTACAAAATTCATCCCAAAGGTTGAACCCAGCACATATGGAGAGCATTAGTCTCCGGAGCATGACAGTGCCGCGTTTTTCCGATTGGACTCATCGAGTACATTGACCTGGGCATCTTGGATGCATGACCAACACTGAGGAGGTCGTCACGCTATACCCCAATGATGCTGTGATGTTGGGAAGCAACTGGCAAACACCCCCGTTCCTGAACCCCCCACGCTACTTACTTTACTTGAGATGGGTATGATCGACCAAGACTCTCCGTTGCACGTCTGCAACAAAGCTCAGCCAGGTGTTGTACTCGCTTGTGCGATAGCTCGTGTGCGCTTGTAGACTCTGGGTGAACAGCATTGCGCCTTCAAGGTCCGAGGTGATCGCTCATAGATTGAACAATTCTCAAGTACTGCATTGCAATGACGCCAGATATTCTATCGTCACACCTTCTACATACTTCTACTGTACTTCTAATAGGCTCTAGATCATTCCCTTTTAAAGACAAATGTTGATAACGACATCATGAACGAAGCAGCACAACACCTACCAATTTGAGAAACGGGTGTTGAACTTGCCGCCAATGACACAGCAGAGTGCTATCACCTTGTCTTGCTCTGTCGAATGACAGATCGTAGCGCCCTAAACTCTTGCCCTTTATGGAAGCTCTTGTTCGAGATCTACACTAGTATTGTACCAGGATACTACACCCTGTTTTTGTTGCAGCAATTGTTACAATCTTTGCACACACTACACAAGAGATACATGGCACAAGCACCCACAGGCGCAGGGATACGCAGATGATGAGACAGCTACAGGTGTCGGCTGCAGAGCCCATTTCGCAGCCATCTCCATTTGAGATCAAAGACGTCATCACGCAGTAATCTTGTTCGTAAGTAAGTGCTGAATTTGACTGCAATTGGGATCAATGGACTATACCGCTACTACAAAAGCGACGATGCATTTTGGTCAACCACATTCTGGAGTCAGGCATAACATCGGGTAGCTGACAAAGTTCTGCGTGGGCGTAAATCAATACAAGGCTTGCCAAGAGCGCGGGGACATTGCAATTTTGGGTTACGCTACGGGCTGAGAATTGCATCAAGATGAACCATCACGCGTCTGGCTGCACGTAAGGCGTTGTATCCCAGCATGTAGTTGCCGTCTAGATGAAACACTACGCCAATTCCAGTCGCTACCCGATGTCATCCTAAGGTGCGCTTCCAGAAACTAGTAAGAGCCGTTCGGCTTTATCTTTGACACTACGGTGGGACAGGCAGCCGGGTTTGATTGACCGATTCACCTTCCACATTTTGGGCACAGTCGACCTCTGGCATATCTATGTGCATAGACAACCACAGGCACGTGGCAAAGTGCCGGCCAGTCTAGCAGTTATTGCCGGACACTAGGAAGCAAGGCGCGCAAAACACATCGGTCCTCGCCGACCTTGATGTTTCAAGGACAAGCTCAAGGTTCACCCAAACTCGGGGGACATTACCAATAATACGGATCGCCCAGCAGGGATCATGTCGATTACCACACGGCTTTGCCCAGGAACTGCGGATCTGAGGCCAACCGCGAAGGATTGTTGGGAGGAAAATTCGTGACATTGCCGACAACAGTTGATTTTTGCCCGGCTTTCAAGATGGAGCATTCTTGCACAACTCAACTCAGGAGTTGTGATAAATAATGTCGCGGCAGTCCCGGCGACGCCACACAGCGGGGGCGCATGGATCCTACAACGGCTGTGCAGCCACGTGCGGCACTTATCCAGTGATTCAAGTAGCAGGGGTGTTAATCCGGTTGTCCTAACCCGTCAATTCAGCTGAGGCCCAGGATACGCCCCGTTACGTATAGCTGCCGCGGCACAATATCAATTGCAATCCTAATCACCCCCTGAGCCGCACTCTGTGCCGTGGGGGGGCAAAGCAAGAGACCAAGCATTTGCAGACGAGAGTTGGCTCGTTGGTAGCCTATCTGTGTGTCACAATACTATTACTATATATTCAACTGACATGGTTTCTCTCTGACTGGGGGGGGGGGGGAATCAGAAAAGGAAAATTCACCCATGGTTGCAAACCATGTCGTCGGAAAGAGTAGCCTGGAGATCGGTTATCATCTTCGGACAATGGGCTTGTTTTGAGCAAGTGCTAGCAACGACCGTCCCACGCTACGCAACGTACATGCCGTAGTCTACTTCAAGACAGTTTCAAGTTCTTGTCAATGGCTGGCTGTACCTACGTACCGCGGGGTACATGTGCTGTATGCCGGCTATAATATCCGCGGATGCTCCCGAGCGCTGCGCCCCTAGTCTTTTGCTTCCTCGGAACCACAGTTCATTTTCATTTTTTATTTTCTCGGATCTCGACTTCGAGTCGACTCACCGTTTCGGTGTGTGAGACGAAATGACCTCGAGGTTTCCCACAGCGCAGGAGTTTGCGTCGTTCCCGCCGCCGAACTATGTCGACCCAATAACCCATCTGCCCATGGCACTGGGAGTTGTCATTCCAATGACTGTCCTGGTCGCCGTTTTCATGTCATGTCGACTGTATTGCCGAACTGTTCTTGTTAAGACATTGGGATGGGATGATGGGTTGATGTCAATTGCAGCAGTAAGTTTGATATGCAAAGCCCTACTCCATGGATCAACAGCTAAACACTAGTAGTTGCTGTGTATTGGGAGCAACATCATGCTCATAATATCCATGTTACCAGACTACCAGATGGGCTATCATCTATGTATGCTTCTGTTCGCTGATGTTACCGAGTCTGAAAACTAATTCCAAAAAGGGGATATTCACCCAGAGAAGCTGTATGGATCGATGAAGGCTGCTCAGGTATGTCGTATGGGATATCAGGAGATGCTCATGCTTACGCTTGTCTAGATGGGTTTGGCTACTCAGCTGCTCTTTACCGCCATCACAGCTTTCATGAAAGTCGCCATTCTTCTGACCTATATACGTAAGCGAAAATCAAGATACAAACTCGAACAAACAGCGACCTGACATGAAGTGTGTAGGCATTTTCCCAGCCAAGCTCGACAGGTGGTTTTGCCATTTGATGATCTTCTACACAGTGACGCTAAACACAGCTTGCTTTTTCGTGACACTATTCCAATGCTCGTAAGAATGATCTTCGACTTTGCTTTGGACTTGATGTACTGATAACGAGCTTCACAGACCGGTAAGCACGTACTGGAAAATTTTTGAGTTTATTGGCACTGCAAAATGCCTCAATATCAAGCTCATCTACTATTTCCACGGCGGACAAAATACCCTGAGCGACTTTATTGTTTTTCTATGGCCTGCAAGAAACCTCATCAATGTGCAGGTCTCACGGCGGCAGCGGTTCACGTTGATTATGATGTTCTCACTCGGGGTAATGTGAGTTTACTTGTATCTATCGGCTTGCGAACCCAAACCTAACGTCTTAATAGTGTTTGCATTGCTGGGATCATACGACTCTACTTTACGCACCGATACCTCATCTCTTTCGACGCATTCTGTATGTCATCATTTCTTTTGTCTTGAGCGATTGCATAATCCGGCCATGCACAGACACTAAGACGATAACAATAGGGTATGGAGGCTCCACCTTCATCATCATGTCCATCGAAAGTGCTGTGGGCGTCGCATGCGGATGCCTTCCAGGCTGCAAACCTTTGATGAACAAAATGTTTCCGCGCATTTTTGCCAGCTCGTCGCATTCATCGTACCCACATCGGTCGGCACATTTGCGTGCGCACAAAGACATCCAAGAGTCTTCTTCAGGAGCACGTTCAGCACAAGTATCGTTCAACCAAAAGGAAGATAATCCGAGCGCAATAGAAAAAGCGATGCGACAAGATACACCGTCAAGCCATGACGTAGTAGTAAGCCCATCGAAACCGCATCCTCACCATCCAGGGCTACGGCCGCCCAGTCGAGCCGCGTTTCCCGGAGGAAGAAGAGAGGGATACAGCGAGCTGAACAACGGGAGCGACGAAAGCATAGAAATGTTCCTATTGTTGCAGCGAAACTAGAACAAGCACATGTTTTCTCTCCTTGCTGAGTTTGCATAGATACCCGAAAAACCCCGTACACGGGGCTCATGAATACATGATTAGTATTTCTAGTCTTATCCTGACCTACCTGGATACCTCCCCCGAGCGGTAGAGCTCCGGAGTCCGGACTATGCATCTACCCAGTAGTGATGTCGAATAACATGGATTCCGCGGGCCGATTGTGCAGAGACTACTACGACATATGACAGGACTTACTAGTACGCGTATGAGGCGGCTGGCCTCGGGCGGATTTCGCAACATTAACTTTTGTTGACTTTGTACCTGGTTATCGGGATATGAAAGCATGGTCTATGTCTGTCGAGTGCCCATTCAGCCATGCTCCTCAAGGCAAAGCGGAATCCTTCGTTGGTCGGTTGGAAACCCATTCACCCAAACTGCAGCGCACAGACCAGTACATTTTGCACTGCTAGGCGAGATGACACGTGCCAGGTCGGCCACAAGAGACAAGGATCTATCTTGCAAGAATAGTACTGCATCAGCCCCCAACCCCGCTTACGCTTGACCACATTACACGCATGAATCATTTCCTTCGCCCACTTTTTTTCCTCTTGCTCTCCATCTACTCTTGTTGTGAGCGAATTAACAGGCGCTGTTGACGTCGTGGAGTAGCAAAATGTGACACTGAATGCAGATGCAGATGGCGCCATGCATGCCAAACTTGACTAGTCCATGTGTTGCTGCAATCGCGCGGCCAGCCAGAGAGCCCAAAGCCGAAATGGACCGGTGGTGAAGACATTGATTCACGCTTTTGGGACGTGGATTAGTAGATGCCGTGAGGCGGGATGGAGGCGACTACGGAAGAATGAGGGGCGTCCTTTCTCTTTTACTACTACTACTACTTATGTTTTTACACGGCGTCTGCTCCCCGCCATTCTTGTTTCAAC